GGTCTCTATGGGTCTCTATAGGTCTCTATGGTCTCGATGTTCTCTATAGGTCTCTATGGTCTCTATGGTCTCTATGTGTCTCTATCATCTCTATGGATCCCTATGGGTCCCTATGGGTCTGGGTGGTGCCGGCGGAGCCGCACCTTCTCGGGGCAGCAGTCGCGGGACGCGGGGCGGATGTCGGCCATGAAGGGGCTGCCGGCGATGTCGTCGCCGTCGCAGAGCACGTGCACGGCGTAGGCGCCCGGCTCCTGCGGCCAGTACCGCACGTCGCAGGAGCCGTCGCCGCGGTCATCGCACTCGATCTTGGCCTGCGAGGGGCCCTCCACCGAGAAACCTGGGGGGAACGGGGGGGAAGGGGTCAGGGGCACCCCAAAACCAGCCCCGGGGACAGGGGGGCGACGGAGCCGGGGGGCAGCAAATGTGGGCAAATCAGCTTAAAATCAGCCAGAAATCAGCCTAAACCAGCCCAAATCAGCCTAAAACCAGCCCAAATCAGCCTAAAACCAGCCCACATCAGCCCCAACCCCCCCAGATCCCTCCCACATAGCCCCGGGGAGCCCCAAAATCCCTGCCACAGCCCCCCCTCCCTCAAGGACCCCACAGACCCCTCAGGTCCCCCCCCCATATGTGACCCTCAAGGGGTCCTTGAGACCCCAGCCTCCCCTGACCCCCCCCGCTGCGCCCCCCTCACCGAGGGTGCCGACGTCATCCCCGATGGCCTCCACCACGAACTCGGCCGCGCTCCCCACGGCGCCGCCCTCCAGCCCCGGGCCCCACGCGCGCACCCGGGGGGGGCCCCCCTCGGGGGACACCTGCACCTCGAAGGGGCTGCGGGGACACGGGGGCACGGACACAGGTGGGCATGAACACACGTGTACATACATACGTGTATATATGTGTACATACATGTGGCCACACGTGTACATGCATACACATACATGTGTGCATACATGTACACACATACACCTACATGCGTGTATACATGCACACATACACCTACATGAATGTATACATGTACACATACACCTACATGAATGTATACATGTACACATACACCTACAGTTGTGTGCATACGTGTACATGTGTGTGCACATACATACGTGTGTGTATACATGTACATGCACATACATAAACATATATACATGTATGTACATTTACACACACGCACACACATACCTATACATGTATGCACACACACACACTACACATGTATGCACACACACTACACATGTATGCACACACACACGCACACACATACCTACACATGTATGCACACACATACCTACACATGTACACATGCACACACACACCTACCTACACATGTATGCACACACACATACCTACACATGTATGCACACACATACCTACACATGTACACATGCACACACACACCTACCTACACATGTATGCACACACACACACTACACATGTATGCACACACACTACACATGTATGCACACACACACGCACACACATACCTACACATGTATGCACACACACACGCACGCACATACCTACACATGCGTGCACACACACGCACACACGTGTACACACACACGCACGCACACACATACCTACACATGTATGCACACACACACGCACGCACATACCTACACATGTGTGCACACACACACGCACGCACATACCTACACATGTGTGCACACACACGCACGCACATACCTACACATGTGTGCGCACACACGCACACACATGTGTACACACACACACGCACGCACACACATACCTACACATGTATGCACACACACACGCACGCACATACCTACACGTGTGCGCACACGCACGCACACACGCACACACATGTATGCACACACACATGCACGCACATACCTACACATGTGTGCGCACACACACGCACGCACACACGCACATACATGTATGCACACACACACGCACGCACATACCTACACATGTGTGTGCACACACGCACACACATGTATGCACACACACACGCACATGTCTGTAAGCCCCGCCCCCCGCCTCACCTGCGGGGCACGGGCTGCCCCCCCACAGCACGGACACCGTGTGGGGCCCGGGCACCGTGGGGACGTAGTCACAGGCGAAGACCCCATCTCCGAGCTCCCTCTGCCTGACGGGCTCAGGGCCCTCTACAAGGGGGGGCGGTCAGGGGGGCACCCACAGAGCCCTGCAGGGCCCCCATGGCACTCCCCATGGCACCCAATGCAGCACCCAATGCACCCAGGGAACCCCTATGGGCACCCCATGGCACCCAATGCACCCGGAGAACCCCTATAGAGCCCCATGTGGCACCCCATGGCACGCACTGCAGCACCCAATGCACCCAGAGACCCCTATAGAGCCCCATTGGGCACCTCATGGCACCCACTGCAGCACCCAATGCACCCAGACACCCCTCTAGAACCCCATGGGGCATGCCAAGGCTCCCCATAGCACCCCCATTTCCCCCCCAGGGCACCCCCAATCCCCCCCATAGCAGCCTGAATCTCCCCCCATAGCACCCCCAATCTCCCCCATAGCATCCCCAACACCCCCAGCATCCCCAATCCCCGCCACAGCACCCCCATTCCCCTCCATAGCAGCCCGAATCTCCCCCATAGCACCCCCAATCTCCCCCATAGCATCCCCAACCCCCCATAGCATCCCCAATCCCCCCCACAGCACCCCCATTCCCCCCATAGCACCTCCATGGCACACATTGCAGCACCCAACGCACCCGGAGCCCCCCATAGAGACCCACGGAGCCCCCAAACTCCCCCCGCACTCACTGGGCCCCTTGACGGTGACCTTGAGCTCCCCATTGCCGGCCCCCTTGGTGTAGACCTTGAACTCCGCCGGCTCCTTCACGCGCAGCCCCTTGGGCTGCAGCCCCCGCCCCACGGCACGGACCAGGGAGGGGGTGCAGGCTGGGGGGCAGCAGGGGGTCAGGCCATGGGGTGCCCCCAAAGCCACCCCAGAGACCCCAAACCCGGCCCCATGGATCCCAAACCCAGCCCCATGGATCCCAAACCCAGTTCCATGGATCCCAAACCCGGCTCCATGGATCCCAAACCTGGCCCCATGGATCCCAAACCCGGCCCCAGGGACCCCAAACTTGGCCCCATGGATCCTAAACCTGGCCCCATGGATCCCAAACCCAGCCCCATGGGTCCCACACCTGGCCCCATGGATCCCAAACCCAGCCCCACGGATCCCAAACCTGGCCCCATGGATCCCAAACCTGGCCCCAGGGAAAGGGGGGGAGAGGGGGACCCCAATGCACGTTGGGGTCCATGGGAAGGGGTTGACCCCATAGGGCGCTACGGGGGGTGCAGCACCCGAAGGAGGGGGAGGGAAAGGGGGACCCCCCCCCCGTACCGTGGCTGCGTCCCTGCGTGGGTCTGGAGCTTCCCCATAGAAGGAGCAGGACAGAGACAGAGCAGAGTCAGCAGAGACCCCCCCCGAGGGCCTGGGGGGGGGGGCAAGAGCACAGAGACCCCCATGGGGGGAGAATGGAGAGGCCCGAGTGTGGGGGAGGAGCACAGAGACCCCCACTTATGGGGCAGGAGCACAGAGATGCCCACTTATGGGGCAGGCACACAGAGACCCCCAGTGGGGGGAGCAGGAGCACAGAAATCCCCACCTATGGGGCAGGAGCACAGAGACCCCCAATGGGGGGAGCAGGAGCACAGAAATCCCCATCTATGGGGCATGAGCACAGAGACCCCCAATGGGGGGGGGGCAGGAGCACAGAGACCCCCACTGGGGGGAGTAGGAGCACAGAGACGTCACTTATGGAGCAGGAGCACAGAGGACCCCAATGGGGGGGGCAGGAGCACAGAGACCCTCATTGGGGGGCAGGAGCACAGAAACCCCCATCTGTGGGGCAGGAGCACCCAGACCCCATCTATGGGGCAGGAGCACACAGACCCCATCTATGGGGCAGGAGCACAGACCCCCATCTGTGGGGCAGGAGCACCCAGACCCCATCTATGGGGCAGGAGCACAGACCCCATCTATGGGGCAGGAGCACACAGACCCCATCTATGGGGCAGGAGCACAGACCCCCATCTGTGGGGCAGGAGCACAGACCCCCATCTATGGGCCAGGAGCACAGACCCCTATCTGTGGGGCAGGAGCACAGACCCCATCTGTGGGGCAGGAGCACACAGACCCCATCTGTGGGGCAGGAGCACACAGACCCCATCTGTGGGGCAGGAGCACAGACCCCCATCTATGGGCCAGGAGCACAGACCCCATCTATGGGGCAGGAGCACAGACCCCATCTGTGGGGCAGGAGCACACAGACCCCATCTGTGGGGCAGGAGCACAGACCCCATCTGTGGGGCAGGAGCACAGACCCCATCTGTGGGGCAGACCCCATGGTGGGGGGAGGTGGGGCTCACCCTGCCCCACGTGGACGCTGAAGGGGCTCCGGGGGATGGGCACTCCGCCGTAGGTCACGTGCACGCTGTGCGCGCCCTCGGCCGCGGGCCGGTACGAGCAGCGGAAGGCGCCGTCCCCGCGGGGCTCCAGCGGCGCCTCCAGCGCCCCCCGGCGGCCGCTCGGGTCCGCGATGGAGACCTCGAGCTCGCCCGGGCCCGCGCCTGCGCAGAGGCACCGCGGGGTCAGCGCGGCCGGCACCGGCGGGGGGGCGGGACCCCCAACACCCCCAGAGCCCCCCAAACCCCCCGACCCACAATTCAGACCCCCCTAAACCCCTTTAGACCCCCCAAGACCCCCCAAACCCCCTTCAGAGCCCCCAAACCCCCTCTTAGACCCCCCAAACCCCCTTCAGAGCCCCCAAACCCCCTCTTAGAGCCCCCAAACCCCCTTCAGAGCCCCCAAACCCCCTCTTAGAGCCCCCAAACCCCCTTCAGAGCCCCCAAACCCCCTCTTAGAGCCCCCAAACCCCCTTCAGAGCCCCCAAACCCCCTCTTAGAGCCCCCAAACCCCCTTCAGAGCCCTCCAAACCCCTTTAGACCCCCCAAACCCCCTCTTAGAGCCCCCAAACCCCCTTCAGAGCCCCCAAACCCCCTTCAGAGCCCTCCAAACCCCTTTAGACCCCCCAAACCCCCTCTTAGAGCCCCCAAACCCCCTTCAGAGCCCCCCGTACCCCTTTAGACCCCCCAACCCCCCCAATCCTCCCCAAACCCCCTTAGAGGCCCCCCAAATCCCCTTTTAGAGCCCCCAAACCCCCCTGACCCCCAATTCAGACCCCCCAATTCAGACCCCCCCAAACCTCCCCTTAAGAGCCCCCCAAGCACTTTCAGAGCCCCCCAAGCCCCTTTAGACACCTTCAGACCCCCCTAACCCCCCCTTAGAGACCCCCGAGTCCCCCATTGCCCCCCTTGTCCCCCCCGCTCACCGGCAGTGAAGATGTCGAAGTGGGTGCCCCGGTTGACCACGTTCCCGGTGGGCTCGAGGCCGGGGCCCTGCGCTGTGACCCTCGAGGCGTCGCCGGCGGCGCGCCCGACCTGCACCTCGAAGGGGCTCTTGGCGATGTTCTGCCCCGCGAACAGCACCGACACCTGCGGGGCAGCGGGGCTCAGTGGGGCCAGGCCAGATCAATGGGGCTGGGGCAGATCAGTGGGGCCGGGGCAGATCAATGGGGCCATAGAGGAGCTCAGTGTCCTCAATGGCTCCATAGGGGAACTCAATGGCTCCACAGGGGAGCTCAGTGTTCCCAATGGCTCCATATGGGAGCTGCTGGATCACTGTCCAGGCTCTGTGTCCTCAATGACTCCATACGGGAGCTCAATGGCTCCATAGGGGAGCTCAATGTCCTCAATGGCTCCATGGGAGCTCGATGGCTCCATAGGGGAGCTCAATGTCCTCAATGGCTCCATGGGAGCTCGATGGCTCCATAGGGGAGCTCAATGTCCTCAATGACTCCATACGGGGAGCTCAATGGCTCCATAGGGGAGCTCAATGTCCTCAATGACTCCATAGGGGAGCTCAATGTCCTCAATGGCTCCATGGGAGCTCAATGGCTCCATAGGGGAGCTCAATGTCCTCAATGACTCCATACGGGAGCTCAATGGCTCCATACGGGAGCTCAATGTCCTCAATGGCTCCATGGGAGCTCGATGGCTCCATAGGGGAGCTCAATGTCCTCAATGACTCCATAGGGGAGCTCAATGTCCTCAATGGCTCCATGGGAGCTCGATGTCCTCAATGGCTCCATAGGGGAGCTCAATGTCCTCAATGACTCCATAGGGGAGCTCAATGTCCTCAATGGCTCCATGGGAGCTCAATGGCTCCATAGGGGAACTCAATGTCCTCAATGGCTCCATGGGAGCTCAATGGCTCCATAGGGGAGCTCAATGTCCTCAATGACTCCATAGGGGAGCTCAATGGCTCCATAGGGGAACTCAATGTCCTCAATGGCTCCATGGGAGCTCGATGGCTCCATAGAGGAGTTGCTGGATCCTCCCCTGGCCTTGTTCCCACAGCTCCAGGACCTCCCCTACTGAGGCCACCCCCTTGGAGCCCCTCAGCCCCCTGAGCCCCACAGAACCCCCCCGAGCCCCATAGAGCCCCATTGCTGCAGCCCCACCTTGTGAATGCCGGTCACTTTGGGCACGTACGACACGGAGAAGGTCCGGTTCTTGTCGTTGTTGGCCACAACCTTAGCCTATGGGGGGGGGGAGATGTGAGACCCCCAGTGGCCCATGGCACCCATAGCACCCATGGCACCCACAGCACCCAAGGAACCCACAGCACTCTATGGCACTCATAGCACCCATAGCACCCACCTCCTCGCGGTGCCCAGCCGGGTCCTCCACGTACACGAGCACCTCCCCCTGCCCGGCACTGATGGTCTCCACCGTGAACTCCGCTCGCTGCTTCACCACGTTCCCAGTGGGCTCGATGCCTGCAGGATGGGGGGGGCCAGCCCCATGGCAGGGCTGCTATGGGGCACCCAGCCCCACGGCACTGCACACTATGGGGCACCCAGCCCCACGGCACTGCACACTATGGGGCTCCCTGCCCCACACCCTCTGCCCCCTGTCCCTATGGTGAGCTCCCCTCTTAGAGGTGACCCCAATCTCTGGGGCCTCCCCTTACCAGGGCCGTAGGCTCGCGCCTTCTTGGGGTTGAGTTTGGGGCGCAGGGGGGCCCCCGGCTTCAGCTTGGCCTTGGGGAACTGGGACAGGTAGGTCATGACCGAGTGCTCGTCCACGTTGGGGTCCACAATCTCCTCGGGGGTGATCACCTGGGGGGCGCCCATGGGGGTCAGTGGGTGCAGGGGGGTACCCCATGGGGTCAATGGGTGGTGGGGGTGCCCCATAGGGGTCAGTGGGTGCTGGGGTGCCCCCCGCACCTGGGGGATGCCGAGCCACTCGTCCGCCTGCTGCATGGCCTCGCGCGCGTTCTCCACCGGCTTGCTGGGGTCTCTTGCTGGGGTCCCACGAGTCCCAGTCGGGGCAGAGCCCTGGGGGGGGGACAGTGTCACCAATGGGCCCATGGTCACAGTGCCCCCCAGTGCCCCATAGCCCATGGCCATAGTGCCCCCTATTGCCTCCCAGTGCCCCATAGCCACATGTCTCTACATCCCCTGTCCCCATTGCCCCCCAAGTCCCCAGTGCCCCATTGTCCCCAGCTCATCAGGGGCACAGCTCTCCACCAGGGCCCCCATTGCCCCATTGCTCCCATTTTCCCCCATTACCCCCATTGCCCCCATGTCCCCATTACCCTCATTAACCCCATTGCCCCATTACCCCCATTGTCCCATATGTCCTCATTACCCTCATTACCCCCTTTGGCCCCATCTCACCAGGGGCACAGCTGTCCAACAGCACCCCCATTGCCCCGTATGTCCCCATTCCCCCCGTTGCCCCATTAACTGCCATTACCCCCATTGCCCCCCATCTCATTGGGCGTGCAGCTGTCCACCAGCTCCCCCACTGCCCCCATTACCCCATTTACCCCCATTCCCCCATCTCACCGGGGGCACAGCTGTCCCCCAGCTCCCCCACTGCCCCCATTACCCCCTTGCCCCCCATTTCCCCCATCTCACCGGGGGCACAGCTGTCCCCCAGCTGCCCCACTGGCCCCATTACCCCATTACCCCAATCTCACCGGGGGCACAGCTGTCCCCCAGCTCCCCCACTGCCCCCATTACCCTCATTGCCCCCATCTCACCGGGGGCACAGCTGTCCCCCAGCTCCCCCACTGCCCCCATTACCCCCATTGCCCCATTGCCCCCATCTCACCGGGGGCACAGCTGTCCCCCAGCTCCCCCACTGCCCCCATTACCCCCCTTACCCCCATTGCCCCATTGCCCCCCATCTCACCGGGGGCACAGCTGTCCCCCAGCTCCCCCACTGCCCCCATTACCCTCATTGCCCCATTGCCCCCATCTCACCGGGGGCACAGCTGTCCCCCAGCTCCCCCACTGCCCCCATTACCCCCATTGCCCCATTGCCCCCCATCTCACCGGGGGCACAGCTGTCCCCCAGCTCCCCCCACTGCCCCCATTACCCCCATTGCCCCATTGCCCCCATCTCACCGGGGGCACAGCTGTCCCCCAGCTCCCCCACTGCCCCCATTACCCCCATTGCCCCATTGCCCCCATCTCACCGGGGGCACAGCTGTCCCCCAGCTCCCCCACTGCCCCCATTACCCTCATTGCCCCACTGCCCCCCATCTCACCGGGGGCACAGCTGTCCCCCAGCTCCCCCACTGCCCCCATTACCCTCATTGCCCCATTGCCCCCCATCTCACCGGGGGCACAGCTGTCCCCCAGCTCCCCCACTGCCCCCATTACCCCCATTGCCCCATTGCCCCCCATCTCACCGGGGGGCACAGCTGTCCACCAGCTCCCCCACTGCCCCCATTACCCCCATTGCCCCATTGCCCCCCATCTCACCGGGGGCACAGCTGTCCACCAGCTCCCCCACTGCCCCCATTACCCCCATTGCCCCATTGCCCCCATCTCACCGGGGGCACAGCTGTCCACCAGCGCTCCCAGCGCGCGCCCGCTCTGCCAGTCGCGGCTGAAGTTGGTGATGGGCAGCTGGGGGAGGCGGTTCTGGATCCAGCCCAGCAGCCGCTGCTTCGGTGTCTGCCGCTTGGCCTCCTCCTCGTCCTCCTCGTCCCACACGGGCATGGAGATGGAGTAGTGCAGGATCAGCGTCCACACCAGCCCCAGGATCAGCTTCAGGTTCCCATCCACGATCGCTTTGCTGTCTGCGGGGCAGCGGCGGCGGGGCGCCACCGGGGGGCGCCAGAGGGGCGTCGTCAGAGGGGGCGTCATCACAGGGGGGTGTCATCATATGGGGGGCGTCATCATAGGGGGGCATCAAGGGGGGGTACCATCATGGGGGGAATCATCATGGGGGTATCATCATATGGGGGGTACCATCATGGGAGGAATCATCATGGGGGGAATCATCATGGGGGGGCATCTTCATAGAGGGGAATTATCATAGGGGGAGTATCATCATAGGGGGGTGTCATCATGGGGGGGCATCACGGGGGGTGTACCATCATAGGGGGGTATCATCATAGGGGGGAGTCATCACAGGGGGCCATCATCATCGGGGGGAATCGTCACAGGGGGCTATCACAGGGTATGGGGCATGGATCACACAGCGTAAGGGGGACATGGGCCATAAGGGGGACACGGGACACAGGGCACTTGGGACACGTGACATAAGAGGGACATGGGGGGACATGGGCTATAGGGAGGCCATGGGCCATAAGGGGAACATGGGATATGGGGGGACATGGGCTATAGGGAGGCCATGGGCCATAAGGGGAACATGGGATATGGGGGGACATGGGCTATAGAAGGCCAAGAAGGGACACAAAGGGAGCACGGCCCATAAAGGGGCCATAAGGGGGCCATGGGGGGGCCATGGGGGGGCCATGGGCCATAAGGGGGCCGTGGCAATGACTCAGGCAATGGGGGGGCAGGAGAGGCGGGGGGGGCCTGGCGCCCATCGATGGCGTGGAAGAGCCCAGAGACCATGGGGGGGGAACTCGTGGGCCCCCATGAGCGGTTTGGGGGGGTCAGGGCAGGGGGCGGAGCCCACCCCTTGAGGGGGGCACATCCGGGCCCTCAGCAGTGGCCTGGGGGGGTCCCGGGTCCCCATTAAGGGCTATGGGGGAGTCCCTGGTCCCCATTAAGGGCTATGGGGGGTTTTAGGCCCCCATTAAGGCCATGGGGGGGTCCCAGGTCCCCATTAAGGGCCATGGGGGGTCTCTGGTCCCCATTAAGAGCTATGGGGGGGTCCCGGGTCCCCATTAAGGGCCATGGGGGGGTCCTGGGTACCCATTAAGGGCCATGGGGGGGTCCTGGGTCCCCATTAAGGGCTATGGGGGGGTCCTGGGTACCCATTAAGGGCTATGGGGGGGTCCTGGGTCCCCGTTATCGCCCATGGGGGGGTCCCGGCGCGTTCCCGCGCCGCGGGGGGGTCCGGGGGGGGGGCGGTGCCGCGAGTGGGGGATGGGACCCCCGGCCCCTCCCCGGCCCCGCCCCCCGCTCCAACATTTTTTGGCCTTATATGGGCTCGGGCTCCAGCGAGGCCCCGCCCCCCGGGGACCCCCCTCTCCGGCCCCCCCCATTGGGACCCCTCGGTGGGGGGGCGGCAGCGCCGCAATCAGTGTCTGCAGGATGTGGGGAGCCGCAGGGCCTCCCCCGGGACCCCCCCTCCCATCGGAACCCCCCCTCCCTATCGGGACCCCCCCATGGCCCGGCCCCGCCCCGGCGGCAGCGGGACCCCCGCCCCCCCCCGCATTCTTGTGATGGGAGCGGGCCCCCCCCCCACCTCCTTTGTTATGGGCCATGGGGCGGGAGGGGCCGGAGGAGATCGGGGGGGCCCAAAATGGAGGGGGAGATGGGGGGGGGGGCTTCGATGGAGCCCTGGGGGGGGGGGCAAAAAGGGGGCTCATGGGGGGAGTCCCCACAAAAGGGGGGTCGCAAGGCGGGGGTGTCCAGGATGCGGGGGAGCAAAGGCACCCGATTGCCATGGGGGGCCCCCTGAACCCCCCCCATTACTACAGGGGGTTCGGGGGGGGGATCTCCCCTTAGCACCCCTCCCCCTACCCCCCCCCCGGGGGTCTCCTTAAGGCACCCCTGCACCCTGTGGGGTGCTCCATGGGCCCTAGGGCTCTGTAGGGCTCTATAAGGCTCTATGGAGCGCTATAGGGCTTTGTGGGGTGGTACAGGGCTTTATGGGGTCCTACAGAGCTTTATGGGGCACCGCATGGGCCCGGGGGGCGCTAGAGGGGTTGGGGGATGCTATAGGGACCTGTGGGGCTTTATAAGAACCTGTGTGGTTCTATTGGGCCCCCATAAGCACTCATGGAGCTCTATAAGCACCCATTGGGCTCTATAAAGGCTCCGTAAGTATCCATGGGGCTCTATAGGGTGTCTTTAGGGGTTCTATCAATACGGGTTCTATCCATAGTGTCTCTGTAGGGTCTCTATAGGCTATCTATAAGGTTTCTATAGAGTATCTATAGGGTTTCTTCAGGGTCTCTATAGGGTCTCTGTAGGGCCTCTATCTATAGGGTCCCTACAGGGTCTCTATGAGGGCTCTATGGGGTCCCTACAGGGTCTGTATAGGGTCTCTACAGGGTCTCTATCTATGGGGTCTGTATGAGGTCTGTGTAAGGTCTCTATAGGGTCTCTCTCTGTAAGGTCCCTACAGGGTCTCTATAGGGGTTCCATCTATAGGGTCTTTATAGCCTCCTTACAGGGTCTCTATCTATAAGGTCTGTATGGTGGCTCTATAAGGTCTCTACAGGGTCTCTAAGGGGTTCCTATAGGGTTTCTCTCTATAGGGGTTCCATCTATAGGGTCTCTATAGGGCCCCTATAAGGTCTCCATAGGGCTTCTCTCTATAGGGTTTCTCCCTATGGGGTCTCTATAGGGTTTCTGTCTATAGGGTCTCTCTGCATAGGAGTTCCATCTATAGGATCTCTATAGGGTCTCTGTCTATAGGGTCTCTTCGTACAGGGTCTCTCTGTACAGGGTCTCTCCGTACAGGGTCTCTCTGTATAGGGTCTCTCTGTATAGGGTCTCTGTCTATAGGGTCTCTCCGTACAGGGTCTCTCTGTATAGGGTCTCTCTGTATAGGGTCTCTCTGTATAGGGTCTCTGTCTATAGGGTCTCTCTGTACAGGGTCTCTCCGTACAGGGTCTCTCTGTACAGGGTCTCTGTCTATAGGGTCTCTCCGTACAGGGTCTCTCTGTATAGGGTCTCTCTGTATAGGGTCTCTCTGTATAGGGTCTCTGTCTATAGGGTCTCTCTGTACAGGGTCTCTCTGTACAGGGTCTCTCCGTACAGGGTCTCTCTGTACAGGGTCTCTGTCTATAGGGTCTCTCCGGACAGGGTCTCTCCGTGTAGCCCCCTCCGGCGCCGCTCACCGATGGACACGAGCTTGATGTTCTCCCTCTCGAGGAAGTCGAGCGCCACGGACACGTTCTCGAGCTGCATCTGGCGGAACGTGGGGCGCGCGTTGTAGCGGCGGCCGAGCTTCTTCTGGCTGAGCACCTCGAGCAGCGCGATCAGGCGCAGCCCGTCCCCCAGGTCCGTCTGCAGGTTCCCCACGCGCTTCTGCACCGCCTTCAGGTGCTCGTTGCACCACCGCGTGAACGTGTTCTGCTGGATGCGCTTCCAGGGCGCGTCCTCCGCCAGCTCCTTCTCGGTCGCCGGCATCTCCCCGTCCGCGGCCTCGCCCCGGGACAACGGCGGCTCCTGCGCCCGAGCCCGCCCGGCTGCGCTCATGGCGGAGGGGAGGGGGGGGCGGGCTGAGGGGAGGGGACACGGGGGGAGGGAGGGGAGACATCGGACGGGAGCGCGCACGGACGGGAGCGCGCTGCGCCCCCTGCGCGTCCCACTGCATCCCAGTGCTTCCCAATGCACCCATTGCATCCCACTGCATCCTAATGCACCCATTGCATCCCACTGCATCCCAGTGCTTCCCAATGCACCCATTGCATCCCAGTGCGTCCCAGTGCTTCCAATGCACCCATTGCATCCCAGTGCGTCCCACTGCATCCTAATGCACCCATTGCATCCCACTGCATCCCAGTGCTTCCCAATGCACCCATTGCATCCCAGTGCTTCCCAATGCACCCATTGCATCCCAGTGCGTCCCAGTGCTTCCCAATGCACCCATTGCATCCCAGTGCGTCCCAGTGCTTCCCAATGCACCCATTGCATCCCACTGCGTCCCACTGCATCCCAATGCACCCATTGCATCCCAGTGCGTTCCACTGCATCCCAGTGCTTCCCAATGCACCCATTGCATCCCAGTGCGTCCCACTGCATCCCAATGCACCCATTGCATCCCAGTGCGTCCCACTGCATCCCAGTGCTTCCCAATGCACCCATTGCATCCCAATGCACCCACTGCATCCCAGTGCGTCCCACTGCATTCCATCACATCCCAATGCATTCCAGTGCATCCCATCACATTCCAATGCATCCCCGCACATCCCAACGCATCCCCATGCAGCCCAGCACATCCCAACGCATCCCCATGCAGCCCATTGCATTCCAGTATATCCAGTGCATCCCAAAGAATCCCAGCACACTCCAATGTATCCCAGTGCATCCTGATGCGTCCCATCACATCCCAATGCATCCCAAAGAATCCCATCACATCCCAGTGCATTCCAGTACATCCCAATGTATCCCAGTGCATCCCATCACATCCCAGCACATTCCAAAGCATCCCAGCGCATCCCCCGCATCCCAGCTCATCCCCATGCACCCCAATGCATCTCAATGCATCCCAATGCATCCGCCTGTAACCCCCTGCATCCCATTGCACCCCAGACAGGGACCACACTGCACCCCCTGAACCCCACAGACACCCCCTGAACCCACTGCATCCCATAGAGAGGGGACACCCCCTCTGCACCTCCAGATAGGTACCCCCATAGAGCGGGGACTCCCCCTGAACCCCACTGCACCCCAGAGACCCCCATAGCAAGGAGCCCCCCTGAACCCCATTGCACCCCATAGACAGGGACCCCCATAGCGGGGATATCCCCTGAACCCCACAGACAAGGACCCCCATAGCAGGGATCCCCCTCCACTGTACTCCATTCCACCCCATAGCAGGGATCCCCACCCATCCATCCCCTGCAGAGTTCCCCATAGAGGGCACCCCCATTTAGGAGACCCCCTCTTTGGGTCCCCCCAATTGAGACCCCTCTAAAGCAGCCCCCAAAGCGGGGCTCCCCTGCACCCATTGCGCTCCCAAAGACCCTGGACCCCAAAAACGGGGTCCCCCCATTCCTTGTCGGGGGGGGGGTCCCCATCTCCCTCCATGGTTTCCCCCATAGGGGCCATGGGCGCTCCCGGCCGCGCTCACCGCTCAGCTCGGTTCCGCTCTGCTCGGCTCCGGGGCCGCTGCTGCCGCCGGTGCCGGTGCTGGGGGGGGAGCGGCCGGTGCTGCCGCGCGGAGCCTTAATTGGTAACGGGGAGCGCAGGCCCCGCCCCCTGGGGGGGGGGGGGGGGGAGCGGGAGGGGCGGGGGGGTCACATGGGGGGGTACAGGGCATGGGGGGCTATAGGGGCTCATAGGGGGGTATAGGAACCTATGGGGTGGGGCAGGGGGTATATGGGGCATGGGGGGATATAGAGACCCATAGGGTGGGATGTGGGGGATATAGGGACCCATAGGGTGGGATGTGGGGGATATAGGGACCCGTAGGGTGGGATGTGGGGGATACAGGGACCCATAGGGTGGGATGTGGGGGGATATAGGGACCCGTAGGGTGGGATATGGGGATCCATAGGGTGGGATGTGGGGGATATAGGGACCCATAGGGTGGGACGTGGGAGATACAGGGACCCACAGGGTGGGATGTGGGAGATATTGGGACCCACAGTGGGATGAGGATGATATAAAGACCCATAGGGTGGGATGTGGGGGGATATATGGATCCATAGGGTGGGATGTGGGAGATATAGGGCATGGGGGTTTTGTTGGGTCCCATAGAGCTGTGGGGAGTACATGGATCCCATAGAGTGGGATGGAGGAGTATAGGGACTCACAGTGTGCAGGTGCCCTATAGGATGGGGGGCCTACAAGGGGACCTATAGAGCAGGAGAGGAGCCCTTTGGGGCCTCAGTGGGGTGAGGTGGGGCTATGGGGATGCTCTGGGCAGAAGAGGGGCTCCATGGGCCCTATGGCGTGTGCAGACCTATAGGGATGATGTGGGGCAGTTAAGGCCAGTAAAGGGTCTTGGTGGGCCCCTATGGAGCAAGGGTGCCTATAGGGGACACGGGATCTGCGCTGCCCCTTGGCCAAGGAAGCCCCATATGGATTCTATGGGGGAGAGCTGGGGGAGGACCCTTAGGGACTATGGGGAAGGGGGGGCCCATTCGGGAGCTGTGGGGCCCTATAGGACCCTATGGGGCAGGAAACGAGGCAGCGCCGGAAGCGGCTGCTCCAGCCCTGATAGCGCTGGGGGGCATTAACCGGGGGGAATTAATGCAAGAGGGTCCCATGTTACATATGTGTTCTATGTACATTACACGCCTGTGCGGGGGCTGCGTCACTGCAAACACGCGTGTTACATGCGTGTGCGTGGCGCCACACGTGCAAACATGCCCCATGGCTCACACCTATTACACGTGTCCAAGGAGCTGCACATACATACACACACGGCTCTGCGTGCACCCCGGGGCCCCCCAGCCCAACACCTGTTACACGCGTGTGCAGGCTCCCACATGCCTGTTCTAGGCGTGTTCTGTCGCTCCCACACGCACCAACACGCCTGCTCCACGTCTGTACCGCATGCACATGTGTGTTACATCCCTGTGGAGCTGTGTGCACCTGGACCCACAGGAGATAGGGGCTCAGGGGGCACCAAGGGGGGGGGTTACCCCCCCAGTGATGCTCTATGGGCCCCGGGGGGGGGTTTACCCCCCCAATGATGCTCTAAGGGCCCTGGGCGGGGGGGGATTTACCCCCTTTAAGCCACTTTGGGGGGGGGCAGCTCCACCAGGATGATCTCACCCCAGCAGGAATCCGGGGGGGGGGAGGGAAGGGGGGGTGTGGACACGTCACAGGGAGGCTTTACCTCCCCCCCGCGGAATCTGGCCCCCCCAAAGCTGAGTCACGCCGGGTTCAGTGTAAACACGGCCCCGACCCTGCTGCTCCTTCCTTATAGGGCCTGAAACAGTGCCGGGCCCCCCCCGGCCCCCCCCCCACCTAAAATAGAAGCCATTGGTCTGGGGGGGGCCTGGGGACCACCCCACACCCTGCCCCCGCAATGGGGAGTGGAACAGCCCAAACGTGTCCTCCTGGAAAGGGAAGGAACCAATGTGGGGGGGACACGGGGGGGGTCAGTCATGGAGGGAGCCCTTGAAGCGCTGCTGCAGGGTGGCCACCCTGGTTTCTGTGGGGGGAGAAATGGGGGGGGGACCCTCAAATAGGCCCCCCCCCCATGTGATAGAGAAGCCCTAACCCTCCCCCAATGAATGACCCCCCACAGCACCATGAAAGAGCCCCTGCACCCCAAACCCCCCCATATACCCTAAAGGATCCCACCATACCCCAACCCCCTGTACCCCAAAACCTGCCCTCGGTACCCCAATAAACCCCCTGCGCCCCCAAATCCCCCCATAAGACCCCCGATAGCCCCCCCATTCCCAAACCAAATCAACCCCCTTTTATCCTAAGTGACCCACCTACACCCCAAAAGGCCCCCCCATTAGGTGTTGAGGTGCCCCCCCTTAGGAATTGGTGTGCCCCCTGCTTACCCATTGCATGGCGCCAGCTCCCCTCAGCCTCCATGGCCAGGTCCCCCAGCAGGGTCATGGCCTCCAGGCCCTGGGGGGAGAACAGGGGGGGAAGTGGGGGGCAGGGACCCCCAGACCCCCTCATCGACACCCCCAGAACCACCCATGGGCAACCCCAAATCCCCCGATGGGCACCCCCAAACCCCCCCATGGGCACTCCCAAGCCCCCCCCATGGACACCCCCAGTCCTCCCCTATAGGACCCATGCCCCATCCCCCCCCACCCCAGTATCTCCCTATAGGGCCCAGAGATCGCCCCGAGTGCTTCCCTGGGGGACTTAGGATGCCCCCCAACACGCTCCCATGGGGCTCAGGAGGCCCCCAAATCCTCCCCTATAGGACCCATAGACCCCCCCCAAAACCTTTCCTTGGGACCCAATCCCCCCCCTCCCCATATTCCCCTATAGGGCCCACGCTCTCACCAAGCCTCCCCTATTGGCCCCCCAATCTTTAGAGTCCCCCCCACCTGCTGGAGGTGCCTCAGGCGCCGGCACACGGGGAGGGCCATGGGGCCACATGGGGCGAGCTTGGGGGGTGCTGCTCCCTGCGCATGGGTCTGGGGGACCCCCAGCCCTGTCCCCACAAAAGCAGAGGCCAGAGCGGCCAGGGCCTGTCCAACGGGCAGCAGGGGGGGGACCGGGCCCGGGGGCCCCCGCAGCTCGGGGCTCTGTGGGACAATGGGGCTTAGACCCCCCAATGGGCACCCCACTGGGTACCCCCAACCCCCCACCAATGGGCACCCCCAACCCGCCCCTTGGGCACCCCCAAAACCCCCCATGAGCACCCCCAATGTGCACCCCCCAGAGCAATCCCAAAGGGTGCCCCCAGGCCCCCACCATGGGCACCCCCAAACACCCCCATGGGCACCCCCAGTCGGCACCCCAATGGGTGCCCCCAGACTCCCCCCAGTTGGTGGCCCCAATGGACAGCCCCAAACTCCCCCATGCTCACCCCAATGGGCACTCCCAGCCCCCCGAATGGGCGCCCCCAAACCCCCCCATGCCCCCCCTCACCTCGGCCTCCATCATCTCCAGGTGCTTCTGGGCCTCCCCCAGCTCCGCTTCCAGCTCCAGCTCCCCCAGGCGGGGTGGGGGGTTCCCGGGGGGGGTCCCGGGGCTGGGGCTCAGCGGGGGGGGGTTCAGCACCGCCACCCCCTCGGGGGACTCCAGGACCTCCTGCAGGAAGGTGCTGGCGCGGAGCAGGATGCTGGGGGGCAGAACCAGGGCCTAGAATGGATTCAAGCCCCCTTGGGGGGGTGGGGGGCAGCTGCTATGGGGGGGTCCCCATTTTGGAGGAGTCCCCACTTTGAGGGGGTCCTCACCTGCTCCGAGCATTTTCCTCTTCCTCCTCCCTGGAGGGGGCCGCATCCAGCAGGTCCCTGATGAACCCCAGCTGCTGCTCGGGGGGTGCTGTGCCCTGGGGGGGCACAAGCACAGAGAATGGGGGGGACCCCCCCAAAAAAAACCACCCCCCCGCAAAACATCCCCCCCATGGACCCACCTCCACCAGCGCTGTGTCCTCGGCCTCGCTCAGCATCAGCTCCTCCGCCAATGCCGCCAGCTCTGGGGGTGCAATGGGGGGGTTTGGGGGGGATCAACGGGAGGAGGAGTCAACAGGGTGAGCAATGGGGGAGGTCCATTGGGGGTTCTGGGGGGGATCAATGGGGGGTCCGGGGGGATCAATGGGGGGTAAATAGGGGGGCAATAGAGGGGTCCAGGGAGGTCAATGGGGGGGCTGGGGGGGGTCAATGGGGGCAATATGGGGGCTAAATGGGGGGTCCTGGGGGATCAATGGGGAGGATATGGGGGTTCAATGGGGGGAATGGGGAATCAATGGGAGTAAGTGGGGGGGCAATAGGGGGGGTCAATGGGGGAGTTTGGGGGTTCCCACCTCTCAGCCGCGCTCTCTCGGGCCCATGCCGGAGCTCATCCAAGCGCTTGGCGAGGGGAGGGTTCACGCTGCGGGGGGGAGAGGGAAGCAGTGTGGGACCCCCCCAGTACCGGTCACAGGGGCCCAGACCCCCGGTACCGGACACGGCCCCGGTTCCCGTTACCGGCAACAGATCCACTCGAGCAGCGCCAGGCGCGGGCGCGAGGGGGTGCAGAGCAGCCGCAGCGCGGCCCCGGGCTCCAGCGGCGCCTCCAGCCCGGGGGGGGAGCTCGGCAGGGCCTGGGGGGGCAGTGACCGCTTGTACCGGATGTACTGGGCCCCCCCCCCCCCCGTTATTGGACTCCCCTCCGGTACCGGACCCCCCCCCGTTAACGGAACCGCCCCCGGTTACCGGAACACACCCCCCCTTTACCGGGACCCCCCCCGCCATTACCAGACCACCCCGTTACCGAACCCCTCCCCCTCGTTACCGGAAACCCCCTCCGTTACCGAACCCCTCCCCCCCCCGGTTCCGGACACTCCCGCCCCCGTTACCCGATCCCTTTCCCCAGTTAACCCCCCCCGTTACTGGACACCCCTCCTCCCCCGTTACCAGACACCCCCCCCTTACCGGAAGCCCTCCCCCCGTTACCGACCCCTCCCCCCCGTTACCGGAAGCCCTCCCCGTTACCGGACACCCCTCCCCCCCGTTACCGACCCCCGCCCCGTTACCGGACGACCCCCGTTACCGGAAGCCCCTCCCCCTTACCGGACACCCCTCCCACCCCGTTACCGACCCCCCCCGTCCCGGATCCCCCTCACCCGCAGCCGCGCCACCACCGCCGCCGCCGCCTCAGCCGCCATTTCCGCCGTTCGCGCTGATTGGTCGCTACCTCAGGGACTCGCCCGCCCCCCGCTGGGGACGTTGCCCAATGGGGAAGCTTCCCGCCTAGCCGCGATCTGGCGCGCACATCGCGATTGGTGGAGCGGCCGCGCTGAGGTCCCGCCTCTCGGGGCCAGTAGGAGACAGCAGAGCGGCTGCGGCTGCGCAGGGGAAGGTCCCGCCCCCGGAAGTGCTCGGGACGCGCCGGGCTCCGCCGCCGCCGGCGGTTCCCTGCGGCCGCCGCCGGGTGAGGGGAGGGGCCGGGCGCGGGCGTGACGTCACGGCGACGGGAGGGAACGCCGTGACGTCACGACGGAGGGCGCGGAGAGAGGGATAGCGGGAAGGGGCGGGGTTTTGGGAGACGTCACGGGAGGGGAGAAATGACGTCGACTTCCGCTCGTCCGTGGGGCCGCGCTGTGACGTTCCTCTCTGCGCTGTGACGTCACGGGTCGCCGCTGCGGTGACGTAGGCAACCACGCCCCACAGGCCGCCATGGAGGGGGAGGGTCCGGACGCTCGCGCTCGCTTCCGCGTGGCGCGGTTCATCATGGAGGCGGGTGAGAGGGGGCGGGGCTTGGGGGAAAGGGGCGGAGCCAAGGGGGAGAGGTGGGGTAAAAAGGGGGCGGGGCCTTGTGGAGAGGGCGGAGCCTGGGAGGGAGTGGCGGCTAAGGGAGAGGGGCGGGGGCTTAGGGAAAGGGCGGAGCTTGGGGAGTGGTGGCAAAGAGAGGGGCGTGGTCTATGGAGGGCGAGGCGGGGCATGGTAGGCGTGGCCTATTGAGAGGAGGCGGGACCGGGAGGGCGTGGCCTAACGCAGGGTGGGCGGGGCCCGCGGCAGGCGTGAAGCTGGGGCTGGGCTCGGTCGCCGTCGCCACCGCCTGCGGCGCCTTCCACCGGTGCTGCCGGGCCCTGGGCGCCCGCGCCCCCCACGACCCCCACCTCGTGGCCGCCGCCGCCATCGCCCTCGCAGCCAAGGCCGAGGGGACCCGCTGCGAGCCCGCGACCTCCTCAACGTCACCCACAGGTACCGGGGACCCCCCCCATAGCACCCAATGGGTGCCTCTGCCCGCCCCCCATAGCACCCATTGGGTGCCTCTGACCACCCCATAGCACCCAATGGGTGCCTCTGACCCCCCCCATAGCACCCAATGGGTGCCTCTGACCCGACCCCCATAGCACCCAATGGGTGCCTCTGACCCCCCCCCATAGCACCCAATGGGTGCCTCTGCCCGCCCCCCATAGCACCCATTGGGTGCCCCTGTGCCCCCCCCGTCCAGGTGCCTGCACCCTGGGGTGCCCCCGTTGGCGCTGGACGCGGAGTTCTGGGCGCTGCGGGACAGCCTCATGCAGTGTGAGCTGTGGGTGCTGCGGGTGCTGCGGTTCCGCCTGCCCCTGGCGCAGGCGCACAAGGTGAGGGCTGGCACCCATTGACACCCCGTGACAGCCATTGACACCCACTGACATCCACTGACACCCCCTCACACCCACTGGGACCCGTTGACACCCATTGATACACAGTGACACCCATGGGACCCTCTGGGACCCGTTGACGCCCATTGGCACCCACTGGCAGCCGTGGGTCACCCAGGACTTTCTAACACCCATGGGAACCCTTGACACCCGTTGGCACCTATGAGACCCCCTCACAGTAACAGGCACCCATTGACACCCACTGACACCTGTCAGACCCACTGACAGCCACTGCGACCCACTGACACCCATGGAACCCCCCTAGCACCCATTGACACCCATGGTATGCCCCAGCACCCACTGACACCCATGAAAGCCCCCTAGCACCCATGGGACCCTCCCAGCACCCTTGGGACCCCCCCAGTCCCCATCCGGGGCTGTGGGGGCCCCCCCTGACCCCCCCCGTTCCCCCTCCCCCCGCAGTACCTGGCTCAGTTCGCGCTGGCGCTGGGGCAGTGGGCGCGGGGGGGGCGGGGGGGGGCGCCGGGCGTGGCCTGGGCGCTGCTGCGGGACGGGGCCGCGGGGGGGCTGGGGCTGCAGAGCCCCCCCCAGCACGTGGCGGCCGCCGCGCTGCACCTGGCCATGGAGCTGTGCGGGTGCGGGGCCCCCCCCGGCGCGCCCCCCCACTGGTGGCAGGTACGGGGGGCATGGGGGGGCTATGGGGTAAAGGGGGGGCATAAGGGGGTGATGGGGGGGTTATAAGGGGGCTAGGGGGGGGCCAGGAGCGGTTACAAGAGGCTGATGGGGGGGTGGTGGGTGCTGGGGGGTGATGGGTGCTGGGGGGGTGTTATGGGTGCTTGGGGTGATGGGTGCTGGGGAGGTGTGATGGGTGCTGGGGGGGGTGTTATGGGTGCTTGGGGTGATGGGTGCTGGGGGGGGTGTTATGGGTGCTTGGGGTGATGGGTGCTGTGTCCCCCCCCCCAGGTGCTGAGCCCTGGACTGGGCCAAGAAGAGCTGGAGGAGCTGGAGCGGGAGCTGCTGGGGCTCTATGGGCTCGACACCGAGGTGGGGGGTGACGACCCCCCCTGTGCCCCCCAAGTGACGCCTGGGCCCCCCCCCAGCCCCGACCCCAGGCCTGGGCCCTCCCGTGCCCCCCAGTACAGGCACAGACCCTTCCGTGCCCCCCCGGACTGAGCCATGGACCCCCCTGTGCTCCCCAACCCACCCGTGCCCCCCCGCCCCACAGCTGTGCCTGTTCCCTGGGGGGGGAGGGGGCTCATGAGTGCGGCCTCGTTTGACCCCCCCAATAAATGATCCCATTCATGAGCCCTGCTTTGATCCGCATTGACCCCCCCCCGGGGCCCCGCCTATTGGGGTGCCCCCCCCCAATAGGACCCAATGGGGGAGGGGGGGGTCAGTGGCAGCAAGGGCCTGGCCCCGCTCCCGCCAACCAGCGCCAGGAGCACGTGCTCTTTCCCGCCAAAACCCGGGCGCGCCGCTGGCCCCCGCTCCTCCCGCCCTTCTCCAGCCAATGAGGTTGCCGCAACGCTGCTCCTCCCCCCCCCCCCCCCCCCCCCGACAGCCAATAAGCGGTGACGTTCCTTCGGACGCCTCTTCTACGTCATCACAACCCCACCCCTGCCCCTCCCCCCCCAAGCAAACTCCCCATTTTTTTCTCCAAAAAAATGTCTTTTAATTCTCAAAATAGCACAAAAACGACAGTTACGGGGGGGAGGGGCCCCCAATACACTATAATACACGGGGGGGAGGGGGGGGCTGGGCTGCCCCACAGCGCCCCATGGCTGCCCCATAGCGGCCCCCGGGGGTCTGTACAGGGGGGGCCGGTGGGGGGAGGGGCAGCGAGTACAAAACTTCATCCAGCAACTGCAACAGGTAAAAAAAATCCCCCCCTGCCCCTCTCCCCCCTCCTGCCCCACAGCGGAGCCTGAGCCCCACAGCGGCCTCCGGTCCCTCCCCCCCCCCACTATGGGGCAGGGGCCCGCGGGGTCCTTCACTGCCCTTCGGCCTTCGGCTTCTTTGGAGCGGATTTCCTGGGGGGGAGGGGGTAGAGATGTGGGGCTGCTCCATAGCGATACCCCACAGCCATGGCAGGGCTGCCCCGTAGCCCAGCCCCACACACCCCACGGCTTGGCCAGGCCCATTTCTCCTGCCCCACAGCAAGACCCCCAGTGCCCCAACCCAGCCCCAGAGACACCCCCATAGCATCCCCCCAGGCCCCATAGATCCCCCCGATCCCACTCACAGGTCGGGGGAAGACAGCGGGCGCTTGCTGGCGGGTTTGGCCCCGGCTCCGTCCTTGCTGGACTCTGTGGGGCAGAGGCGGGAATTGGGGGGTGATGGGGGGGCACCTCTAGCCCCACAAGTCCCATCACAGCAAGAGCTGCAGCCCCACAAGTTGCGGCCACGTCCCCTGTGGTGATGCTCTCACCCCCTGCACCCAGCCCCATGGCTGCCCCTGTGGGGCAGGACCATAGGGTCCCATCACCCACCTGCATAGCAGGCACACAGCCCTTTAGTACCCACACCACTGCCCAGCCCCATACATGTGGGTCAGCCCCGTAGGGCCCCGTCACCCACCTGCATGGCATGCCCATAGACCTGTGGGACCCACACCGTAACCCAGCCCCATACACGTGGGTCAGCCTCCCAGGGTCCCATCACCCACCTGCACGGCAGGCCTGCAGCCCCACAGGACCCACACCAGAGCCCAGCCCCGCACGTGTGGGGCAGCCCCGCACTCACCCTGCAGCCACCGCACCTGCGTGGCGGGGCCGTAGCCCTTGTCGTTGCGGGCGGCGATGCGGAAGATGATGGCGGGTTTGGTGCTGTGGTCGATGTGCGCCGTGGCCAAGCTGCCGGCGGGCACCAGGCAGGAGGGGCTGGGCCCGCAATAGACCCGCATGAAGGCGAGCGGGGCCGGGCCCCCGCCCCCCCCCGCGGCACCGGCACCGGAGCCCCCCCGGGGCTCGGCCGCGCCGCCGGCGATCGCCAGGTAAACCGAGTACTCCAGGATGCGCCCGGACGTCACCGGACGGCGGCTCCCACGTCAGGTGCGCCCCGTCCGGGCTCTGCGGGCACAGGGGGCAATGGGGGTGATGGGGGTGATGGGGCAATGGGGGTAATGGGGGTGATGGGGGTGATGGGGGCGATGGGGGTAATGGGGGTGATGGGGGTAATGGGGGTGATGGGGGTGATGGGGGTAATGGGGGTGATGGGGGTAATGGGGGTGATGGGGGTGATGGGGGCGATGGGGGCGATGGGGGTGATGGGGGTAATGGGGGTGATGGGGGTGATGGGGCAATGGGGGTAATGGGGGTGATGGGGGTGATGGGGGTGATGGGGGTAATGGGGGGTAATGGGGGTGATGGGGCAATGGGGGTAATGGGGGGCAATGGGGATAATGGGGGTAATGGGGGGTAATGGGGGTGATGGGGCAATTGGTAATGGAGACAATGGGGCAATGAGGGTAATGGGGGCAATTGGGGTAATGGGGGGTAATGGGGGGCAATGGGGATAATGGGGGTAATGGGGGGTAATGGGGGGCAATGGGGGTAATGGGGGGTAATGGGGGGCAATGGGGATAATGGGGGCAATGGGGGTGTTGGGGACACAGTCAGAAGGATGTGTTTGGGGCCAACCCCCTGATTGTGGGGGTTGGTTGAAGCTGTGGGTCACGCTATGGGGCAGGAAGCAGGTCTCTGTGGGGCAGTGCCACGGGGCAGGCCGTGGGTCGGTACCTTGCTGATGCGGATGGCGCAGGGCGCGCCCGGGTACCCGGGCAGGCAGGTTTTGAAGGCCGCCAGCTCGGAGAAGGCGCCGCGGCCGCACACGTTCACCCCGGCCACGCGGAACTTGTACGCGGTGCCCGGCTGCAGCTCCTGGCGCCGCAGCTGGGAATGGTCCGGGACGCCCCCGGCCTCGTCCTGCGGGGGCACGAGGCGTGGGGCACCCATAGGGACCCACAGGGACCCCCGGCATCCAGAGGGACCCAGAGGGACCCCCAGCACTCACAACACCCATAGGGACCTACAGCACCCACAGGGACCCCCAGCATCCAGAGGGACCCAGAGGGACCCCCAGCACTCACAACACCCATAGGGACCTACAGCACCCACAGGGACCCCCAGCATCCAGAGGGACCCAGAGGGACCCACAGCACTCACAACACCCATAGGGACCTACAGCACCCACAGGGACCCAGAGGGACGCCCAGCACTCACAACACCCATAGGGACCTACAGCACCCATAGGGACCCACAGGGACCCCCAGCATCTAGAGGGACCCAGAGGGACCCCCAGCACTCACAACACCCATAGGGACCTACAGCATCCAGAGGGACCCCCAGCACCCACAGGGACCCAGAGGGACCCCCAGCACTCACAACACCCATAGGGACCTACAGCATCCAGAGGGACCCCCAGCACTCACAACACCCATAGGGACCTACAGCACCCATAGGGACCCACAGGGACCCCCGGCATCCAGAGGGACCCAGAGGGACGCCCAGCACTCACAACACCCATAGGGACCTACAGCACCCACAGGGACCCCAGCATCCAGAGGGACCCAGAGGGACCCACAGCACTCACAACACCCATAGGGACCTACAGCACCCACAGGGACCCCCAGCACCCACAGGGACCCAGAGGGACCCCCAGCACTCACAACACCCATAGGGACCTACAGCATCCAGAGGGACCCACAGCACCTACAGGGGCATCCAGCATCCATAGGGACCCATAGGGACCCCCAGCACTCACAACACCCATAGGGACCTACAGCATCCAGAGGGACCCCCAGCACCCACAGGGACCCAGAGGGACCCCCAGCACTCACAACCACCAAAGGGACCTACAGCACCCATAGGGACCTCAACACCAGGACCCACAGCACCTACAGGGGCATCCAGCATCCATAGGGACCCACAGCACCCACAGGGACCCCCAGCATCCACAGCACCCATAGGGACCCAGAGCACCCACAGGGGCACCCACAGCACACACAGGGACCCAGAGCACCCATAGGGACCCATAGACACCCCTAGGACCGCAGGGCACGCACGTCGGTGGCGGCGCGTCCTCGGGGGGCAGGAAGTAGTGCGTCACCATCATGGAGGTGCCCTTGATGACGCCCACGTCGAACCATTGGTTCTCCTTCTTGAGCAGCGCCTTCGGGGGGGGCGGCTCCTGCTTCTGCACCCCAGGACCCACAGAGACCCACAGTGACCCATAGGGACCAACAGTGACCCCCAGGGACCCACAGCGACCGATACAGACCCAGATCTGCCCCGTAGGGACCGATATCTGCCCCACAGTAACCCCTAACTGCCCCATAGTGACCCATAAGTGCCCCATGGTAACCCACAGCTGCCCCATAGCCACCCCATAGTGACCCATAACCAGCCCTTGTGCCCCACAGCTGCCCCCCAGTGACCCCGCAGCCCCCTCTCACCACGGAGACGCTCTCGATGCCATTGGCCACCTCTGCCAGGGCCGCGGCCGCCTGCAGCTTGGCCGGGCTGGTGCCCACCACGGGCGGGGGGGCACGAAGGCGCTGGGGGGGGCCAGGCCTGGGGGGGGGTCAATGGGAGACAACGGGAGTCAATGAGGCTCAATGGGGCCCAATGTGGTCAATGGGGCGCAGTGGGGCTCAACAAGATCAATGGGATCAATGTGGCTCAATGGGGGTTAATGGGATCAATGGTGTCAATGAGGATCAATGGGGCTCAATGGGAGTCAATAGGATCAGTGGGGCTCAATGGGGTCAATGGGCCTCAATGGGAGTCGATAGGATCAATGGGGCTCAATGGGGGTTAAAGGGATCAATGGTGTCAATGAGGATCAATGGGGCTCAATGGGAGTCGATAGGATCAGTGGGGCTCAATGGGCCTCAATGGGAGTCGATAGGATCAGTGGGGCTCAATGGGCCTCAATGGGAGTCGATAGGATCAGTGGGGTCAATGGGCCTCAATGGGAGTCGATAGGATCAATGGGGCTCAATGGGGGTTAAAGGGATCAATGGTGTCAATGAGGATCAATGGGGCTCAATGGGAGTCGATAGGATCAGTGGGGTCAATGGGCCTCAATGGGAGTCGATAGGATCAATGGGGCTCAATGGGGGTTAAAGGGATCAATGGTGTCAATGAGGATCAATGGGCCTCAATGGGAGTCGATAGGATCAGTGGGGCTCAATGGGGTCAATGGGAGTCGATAGGATCAGTGGGGCTCAATGGGGTCAATGGGAGTCGATAGGATCAGTGGGGCTCAATGGGCCTCAATGGGAGTCGATAGGATCAGTGGGGCTCAATGGGCCTCAATGGGAGTCGATAGGATCAGTGGGGCTCAATGGGCCTCAATGGGAGTCGATAGGATCAGTGGGGCTCAATGGGGTCAATGGGAGTCGATAGGATCAGTGGGGCTCAATGGGCCTCAATGGGAGTCGATAGGATCAGTGGGGCTCAATGGGGGTTAAAGGGATCAATGGTGTCAATGAGGATCAATGGGCCTCAATGGGAGTCGATAGGATCAGTGGGGCTCAATGGGGTCAATGGGAGTCGATAGGATCAGTGGGGCTCAATGGGGTCAATGGGCACTCACCGTCGCTGGGGGCTCCGCTGGCGGCCCCCACCTCTCCCAGTCCATTGCTGTCGGTGCCGGGGGGGTCGTTGAGGCTGTCGGCGGGGGCCAAGGCCTCGGTGGGGAGCTGGGGGGGGGCCGGGGGGGGCGGCGGCGCCGGGGGGGTGCCGGGGGGGCGGCCTCGAGCTGCTGCTGCTGCTGCTGCTGCACCAGCGCCGCCAGGTCCTGCTGAGTCAGCACAATGGGGATGGGCCCCCCCGCGCCCTCGGGCACCCCCAGCTCGGGGGGGGCCCCCCCGGGCTCCGCGCCGCTGTCCAGGGGCTCCGCCGTGCCTGCGGGACAGGGGGGATGAGGTAAGGGACCTGGGGGCGGGATGTGGGGTACGGGGTACAGCGTATAGGGATATGGGCTAGGGGATGTGGGATATGAGGTATATGGATTTGGGATATGGGATGTGGGATATGGGATACAGGATATAGGAATATGGGATGTGGGATATGAGGTATATGGGTATGGAATATGGCATGTGGGATACGGGAATACGGGATGTGGGATATGAGGTATATGGATATGGGATGTGGGATATAGGAATACGGGATACAGGGTATAGGAATATGGGATGTGGGATATGAGGTATATGGATTTGGGATATGGGATGTGGGATATGGGAATATGGGATACAGGGTATAGGGATACGGGATGTAGGGTGAGAGATACGGTAATACACGATACATGGTACAAGGATACTGCAATATGGCATACGAGATAAAGGGATGTGGGATATGGGGGTCCCAAGCCCACCCTGCCCATGTGCCACCCCCATGGAGACATTGTCCACTATGGTCTCCCCATATCACCCCTGTATCCCCATGATGTCCCATATCCCAAGTGTCCCCAGTGTCCCCATACCCTCATGGTCCCTGTATCCCCATGGTACCCCCATAGCACACCCGTACCCCCCATAGCACCCCTGTACCCCCCATGCCCCCTGTACCCCCATAGCACCCCTGTACCCCCATAGCACCCCTGTACCCCATAGCACACCCGTACCCCCCATAGCACCCCTGTACCCCCATGCCCCCCGTACCCCCCCTGTACCCCCATGCCCCCCTGTACCCCCCATAGCACCCCTGTACCCCCATAGCACCCCTGTACCCCATAGCACCCCTGTACCCCCATGCCCCCCTGTACCCCCCATAGCACCCCTGCATCCCCATAGCACCCCTGTACCCCCATAGCACCCCTGTACCCCCATAGCACCCCTGTACCCCCATGCCCCCCTGTACCCCCATGCCCCCCCTGTACCCCCATAGCACCCCTGTACCCCCATGCCCCCCTGTACCCCCATGCCCCCCTGTACCCCCATAGCACCCCTGTACCCCCATAGCACCCCTGTACCCCCATAGCACCCCTGTACCCCCCATAGCACCCCTGTACCCCCATAGCACCCCTGTACCCCCCCGTACCCCCATGCCCCCCTGTACCCCCATGCCCCCCTGTACCCCCATGCCCCCCTGTACCCCCATGCCCCCCCCTCACCCAGCACCGCGTGCTGGGCCGCCTGCAGCACCGCCTGGAGCGCCAGCGCCTGGGCCTGGGCCTGGGCCTGGGCCTCCTCGGTGGCCGCCGCCGCCGCCGCCTCTGCGGCCGCCGTCACCGCCAGCTCCTCGGGGCTGAGCCCCGGCACCACGAGCGCCCCCGCGCCCCCCCCAGCAGCTCCGGGGGCAGCGCCGCCGCCGCCCCCCCCCCCGCCGCCGCCCTCGGCCCCCCCCGGCAGCACCACCACGGCCAAGGGCTCCGGGGAGCCCGGGGGGGGCGCGGGGGGGCCCCGCTGCTGCTGGGGGGAGGGGTGATGCTGGGGGGGGCGGGGGGGTCCGGGGGGGGCTCCGTCAGCGAGGAGATGCTCTAAAGGGGGGGAGGGGAAGAGGAGGTTAAAGGGGGGCGGACGGGACCCCACAGACATCAGTGACCCCCCCATGGTCCTCTATGACCCCCAGCCTCCATCCCCAGTGAGGCCCCCAAAGCCCCTTTCTGCCCCCCCACAGAGCTCCATAGACTTAATGCACTCCCATAGAACTCTATAGACCTTAATGCACTCCCATAGAACTCCATAGACCTTAATGCAACCCCATAGAACTCCATAGACCTTAATGCACCCCCATAGAACTCTATAGACCTTAATGCACTCCCATAGAACTCTATAGACCTTAATGCACCCCCATAGAACTCTATAGACCTTAATGCACTCCCATAGAACTCCATAGACCTTAATGCACCCCCACAGAACTCCATAGACCTTAATGCACCCCCATAGAACTCCATAGACCTTAATGCACCCCCATAGAACTCCATAGACCTTAATGCACTCCCATAGAACTCCATAGACCTTAATGCACCCCCATAGAACTCCATAGACCTTAATGCACCCCCATAGAACTCTATAGACCTTAATGCACTCCCATAGAACTCCATAGACCTTAATGCACCCCCACAGAACTCCATAGACCTTAATGCACCCCCATAGAACTCCATAGACCTTAATGCACCCCCATAGAACTCCATAGACCTTAATGCACCCCCATAGAACTCTATAGACCTTAATGCACTCCCATAGAACTCCATAGACCTTAATGCACCCCCACAGAACTCCATAGACCTTAATGCACCCCCATAGAACTCCATAGACCTTAATGCACCCCCATAGCCCTTACTGCCCCCCCACAGAACTCCATAGACCTTAATGCACCCCCATAGCCCTTTCTGCCCCCCCCACAGAACTCCATAGACTTAATGCACCCCCATAGAACTCCATAGACCTTAATGCACCCCCATAGAACTCCACAGACCTTAATGCACCCCCATAGCCCTTACTGCCCCCCCACAGAACTCCATAGACTTAATGCACCCCCATAGAACTCCATAGACCTTAATGCACCCCCATAGCCCTTACTGCTCCCCCACAGAACTCCATAGACCTTAATGCACCCCCATAGCCCTTACTGCCCCCCCACAGAACTCCACAGACTTAATGCACCCCCATAGAACTCCATAGACCTTAATGCACCCCCATAGCCCTTACTGCCCCCCCACAGAACTCCATAGACCTTAATGCCCCCCGCATAGCCCTTACTGCCCCCCCATAGAGCTCCACAGCCCTTAATGCCCCCCCCATCCCAATGTGCCCCCATAGCCTTTACTGACCCCCACTAGAGCTCAATAGCCCTTAATGCCCCACCTTGGTCCTCTATGACCCCCCCCCACCATCCCCAATGCTCCCCCCCCCCGTGTCCCCAGGCCCCCCTCACCGGCAGGGCGGGTGCTGGCACCGGTGTGGCCGCGGTGACGTGGTGACGGCGCGGGGCTGGGGGGGCCCCGTGGTGCTGGGCCCGGGGCTGGGGGTGCCCGGGGGGGGGCCCTCACCAGGGGGGGTGGCTCCGACTCCCCTTGTCCATTGGCGGCCGCTGGGGGGGGTTCTATGGGGACACACACACATGGAGGTCAGCTGGGGTCACGGTGCCCCCCCCCCTCCGTGGTGCCGCCCCCATGGCGCTGCCGTCACCTGGGTTGGTGCCGATGGCGGCGGTGACCGTGGTGGCCGTGGGGGTCGTCCCGGTCTCATGGGTCTCACAGGGGGGGTTGGAGCAGGCAGGGGGGGGCCCCTCGGGCACTGTCCCTGTCACCGCGGTGGCGCTGGGGGGGGGGAGCCGGGGCTGGTGCCGGTGGTGCTGGTGCCGGCAGTGCCCGCGTCGTGGCTCTCGCACGGCTGCGACGCTGTGGCTCCGGTGGCCGTGCTGGTGGTGCCGGTGCCGTGCGCCTCGCAGGGGGGGCTGGAGCAGGGCCCCACCGCCATGGTGGTGGTGGTGGTGGTGGTGGTGCCAGTGCCGTGCGCCTCGCAGGGGGGTTGGAGCAGAGCCGGGACGCGGTGGTGGTCACCGTGTTGGTGGTGCCGGTCTCGTGGGTCTCGCAGGGGGGATTGGAGCAGGGCTGCGATGCCACAGCCATGATGGTGCTGCTGGTGGTGCCGGACCCATGGGGCTCACAGGATGCGGTGGAACACGGCTGGGACGCAGTGACCACGGTGGTGGTGGCCGTGGTGGTCGTCCCCATCTCATGCTGGGGGTCGGAGCAGGGCCCCGTGGCCATGGTGGTGGTGGCCGTGTTGGTGGTGCCGGTCTCATGGGTCTCACAAGGGGGGTTGGAGCAGGACCCCGCCGCCATGGTGGTGGTGGCGGTGTTGGTGGTGCCGGTCTCATGGGTCTCACAAGGGGTGGTTGGAGCAGGGTCCCATTGCCATGGTGGTGGTGGCGGTGTTGGTGGTGCCGGTCTCATGGGTCTCACAAGGGGGTTGGAGCAGGGCCCCGCTGCCATGGTGGTGGTAGCAGTGTTGGTGGTGCCGGTCTCATGGGTCTCACAAGGGGGGTTGGAGCAGGGCCCCGCTGCCATGGTGGTGGTGGCGGTGTTGGTGGTGCCGGTCTCATGGGTCTCACAAGGGGGGTTGGAGCAGGGTCCCGCTGCCATGGTGGTGGTGGCAGTGTTGGTGGTGCCGGTCTCATGGGTCTCACAAGGGGGGTTGGAGCAGGGCCCCGCTGCCATGGTGGTGGTGGCGGTGTTGGTGGTGCCGGTCTCATGGGTCTCACAGGGGGGGTTGGAGCAGGGTCCCATTGCCATGGTGGTAGTGGCGGTGTTGGTGGTGCCGGTGTCGTGGGTCTCACAAGGGGGATTAGAGCACGGCCCCGTGGCCATGGTGGTGGTGGCGGTGTTGGTGGTTCCGGTGTCGTGGGTCTCGCAGGGGGGGTTGGAGCACACCAGGGTCACGGTGCCGGGGTCGGGCTCGGTGCCGCCTGGTGCCGGTTGCTCGGCCGTGGGCGATGCCAGGATGGACACAGGGAGGTCGGGCACCGGCTGCGCCTCAACCCCCCCCCGGGGGCCGTGATCAGCGTCACTTGGGTGGGGGGGGCCACGGGCTGGGGGCAGTGGTGATAGGGTCAATGAGGAGACCCCCATTGGCACCGAAACCCCCATTGCCACCAGTGCCCCCATGGCCACCAGCACCCACATTGCCACCAGCACCCACATTGCCACCCAGGGACCCTATTGCCACCAGCACCCCCACTGCCACCAGCGCCCCCATTGCCACCAGCGTCCCCATTGCCCCCCATCCCAAGGCCACCCCCAGCCCACCACCTCCCCATGCCCCGCTCCATGGTGCCCGACGATGCCCCGCAGGCTCCCCGCGGTGCCCCCTCACCTGCATGGTGATGGTGGGGGTGCCGAGCGCGCCGGTGGCCGTCACCGTGCTCTGTGCCGCGGACACGGTGATGGCGGCGGGGTTCAGGACCTGGCTCGACAGCGTCGCGATGGTGCCCAGCGTGGTGATGGGGGTGGCAAGCGAGGCCGTGGCACTGTGCCCCCCCGCGCCCGCCAGGCTGGTGGACACCGTCCCCGTCACCGTGCCCAGCGTGGTGACCCTATGGGGACGCAATGGGGTCAATGTGGGGCTGGGAGAGGGTGGTGATGGCGGGGGGGGGGGCAGTGGGGCCGTGCACTCACCGGTGGTGCCCTTCACCACCAGCGTGGTGACCGTGGGCTTGACGGCAGAGACGGTGACGGGGGTCACCAGGCGGACCCCCCCCATGGGCACCGTGCGCAGGATGGTGCCCGGCTGCCCCGGGGCGCCCTTGAGGACCACCTGGGGGGAGCACAACCAGAGAGGGGATGATGGGGGGTGCTCAGGGGACACGGGGGGATCCCCATGGCCACGGCCCCCCCTTTTACCTGCGTCACCCCTTGCTGGCCGTGCCCGGTGCCCAGCTTGGGCACCGCGGTGATGATCTTGGCCGGGGTGCCCGTGCCCGACGTCATCACCTTGGTGGTGATGATGGTGATGGGGGACTTGATGCCGGGGCTGCTGGTGACACCTGGCGGGGGATGACATGGGGTCAGCGCCGGCACCGGGGGGGCAATGGGAAGGGGGTGTCCCCACTCACCGGTGGCCCCCGCCTGGGTGATGATGGCCGACATGGGGATGGTCTTGATGATGGTGGTGGTGCCGGGCTTGGTGGTGCTGGGGGAGACGCTGCTGATGCCCAGCAGCGTGGGCTTGGCCGCGGCGGCGCCGGCCTGGCTCGTGCTCAGCAGCGTCGTGGGCTTCCCATCGCCGGACGTCACCAGCTTGAGGATGGTGCCCGCCGGCAGCGGGCCCTTGGTCTGTGGGGGGGCACGGGGGGGTCATGGGGGCTATGGGGACAAAAGGGGGTGATGGGGACAAGAGGAGAATGGGGGCGATGGGGACAAAGGGGGGTGATGGGGACAGGAGGGGAATGGGAACAGGGAGGGATGGGGACAGGGGGGAATGGGGATGGGAGGGATGGGGGCAATGGCGATGGGGGGGAATGGGGACGGGGGGTCATGGGGGGCAATGGGGACAAAGGGGGTGATGGGGACAGGGTGGGAATGGGGGAGATGGGGATGGGGGGAACGGGGGGAATGGGGATGGGGGGTGATGGGGACTGGGGGAATGGGGACAGAGGCGGATGGGGACAGGGGGTGGTGGGGACACCGGGGCCATGGGGTTCCCGGGGCCATGGGGACACAGGGGTCAGGGGGCCAGGGGTGCCATGGGGGGGTCCCACCTGGATGATCTGGGTGACGGGGCCGGTGGACGCCTGCCCGGTGACGGCCGAGCTCTGCACCGGCTTCGTCTGCACCACGGACATCACCTTGCCCAGGTTGGAGATCTGGGGGGGGCAGTGGGGTCAGACCCACCCACCGAGGCTTGGAGGGGTCCCCCCACACTGGGTGTCAATGGGGGGGGCACTCACCAGGGCGCTGCCCCCCGGCACGGAGATGGGGCTCTTGACCAGGGTGATGGTCTTGGTGACCCCCCCCACCACGGTGGTCACCACCTGGGCCTGGTGCTGCGCCACCGTCACCGCGCCCGACTTGTGCACGGTGATGATGGGGCGCGCGGGGGGGGGGTTGGTGGCCGCGGCCCCCCCCGACGTCCCCACCTGCGCCGCCGCCGTCTTCAGCATCCGCGTGGCCGGGTTGGTCACCTGCAGCGGGGGGCAATGGGGGGACCATGGGGAGAGTGGTCCCCATGGTGGTGGGACAAAGGGAGACACCATGGGGACAATGGGGACACCATAGGGACAATGAGGACAATGGGGACAGTGGGGACACCATGGGAACACCACAGGAACACCATGGGGACAATGCGCACAACGGGGACAGTGTGGGGACAATGAGGACACCATGGGAGCACCAAGGGGACAATGGGGACACTGGGGACATCATGCGGACAACGGGGACAGTGGGGACACCATGGGAACACCATAGGAACACCATGGGGACAATGAGGACAATGGGGACACCATGGGACAATGGGTTAGGGGGACACAGAACATAGAACGTAAAATACAAAACACAGTATATGCAATATAGGACATGGAGTAGGGATATATGGGGTATACAACACGGGAATACAGTGTATGGGATGTAGGATAAAGCATGTGAGTTTGGAATATTGGGTGTGGGATACGGGATATGGGCTATGGGGCACGGGGACGTGGTGATACGGGTCATGGACCACAAAACATGGGCAGATGGAGACGAAGGAATATAGGGACAATGGGAACAGTGGGACGTGAGGGACATGAGAAGGGGAGCCAGGGAATGGGGGGACAGGGGATGAGGGGCACACAACGGGATGGGGACACCGGGGGGTCCCCGCTCTCACCATGACGGGGGCCGAGGCCACCTTGACGCTGGGTGGCAGCGAGGGGGTGCCGGGGGTCACGGCCACCGTCTTGACGATGGTGGCGCCGGGGGGGACGCTCAGCACCGCGGGCGCCGCGGGGGGGATCTTCTGCGTGGCGGCGGCAGCGGCGGCCAGGGCGGCCATGCCGGTGAGCTGGGGGGAGCTGCCCAGCACCTGGGGGGCACGGGGTCAGCACCGCCCCCGGCACCCCAATGCACCCCCAGGACCCCAATGCACCCCCACGACCATAACGCCCCCTCAGGACCCCAGTGCACCCCCAGGAGCCCAATGCAGCCCCCAGGACCCCAATGCACCCCCATGACCCCCATGCAGCCCCATGACCCCAATGCATCCCCAGGACCCCAATGCACCCCCATGACCCCCATGCACCCCCATGACCCCAATGCATCCCCATGACCCCAATGCAGCCCCCAGGACCCCAATGCATCCCCATGACCCCAATGCCCCCCATGACCCCAATGCATCCCCATGACCCCAATGCACCCCCATGACCCCAATGCCCCCCCATGACCCCAATGCATCCCCATGACCCCAATGCAGCCCCCATGACCCCAATGCACCCCCATGACCCCAATGCCCCCCCATGACCCCAATGCACCCCCATGACCCCAATGCAGCCCCATGACCCCAATGCACCCCCATGACCCCAATGCCCCCCCATGACCCCAATGCACCCCCATGACCCCAATGCATCCCCATGACCCCAATGCAGCCCCCATGACCCCAATGCACCCCCATGACCCCAATGCGGCCCCCATGACTCCAATGCACCCCCATGACCCCAATGCACCCCCATGACCCCAATGCACCCCCATGACTCCAATGCACCCCCATGACCCCAATGCACCCCCATGACTCCAATGCACCCCCATGACTCCAATGCACCCCCATGACCCCAATGCACCCCCATGACTCCAATGCACCCCCATGACCCCAATGCACCCCCATGACCCCAATGCAGCCCCCATGACCCCAATGCACCCCCATGACCCCAATGCGGCCCCCATGACTCCAATGCACCCCCATGACCCCAATGCACCCCCATGACCCCAATGCATCCCCATGACTCCAATGCACCCCCATGACCCCAATGCATCCCCATGACCCCAATGTCTCCCCCCATGACCCCAATGCACCCCCATGACCCCAATGCAGCCCCCATGACCCCAATGTCCCCCCCCATGACCCCAGTGCACCCCTTCCCCCCTCACCGTGCCCTGGGGACTCTGGCCCGGCACCACCATGCGCACGCCGGGCAGGGACGTCACCGTCACCGGGGCCTTGCCGGGGGGCCCGGCCGAGCGCACCGTCACCAGGGGGGCGCCGGCTGCCGCCGCGGGGGGGCCGGTCACCTTCAGCACCGCCGGCACACCTGGGGGGGAAGGGGGGGCTCAGGGCGGGGGGGGGGGGGGGAGGGACAGGAACACACCCCCCCCGGGTCCCTCCTGTCCCTTTATCCCTGTACCCCCATATCCCCCCATCCCCATGTCCCTCTATGCCCCCCATACCCCTCCATTACCCCCATATTCCCCTATTCCCCCATGTTCTTCTATACCCCCCAATCCCGCATATCAGTCTACACCCCCATATCCCCCTATATATCGCTCCACATTCCTCTATTGTCCCTATATCCCCTCATATCCTCCTACATCTCCACGCCCTTCTATCCCACGTCCCTATACCCCTATATCCATTCATCCACCCTCTGTATATCCCCCTATCCCCCCGCAACTCCCCCATATCCCCTTATGCCCCCATAACCCCCTATCCTTCCATCCGCCCCCGTATCCCCCCATGCCCCCCCTCCTCCTCATATCGCCCCCACATCCCCTATCTATCTCCCCCCTTACCGGTGGCTCTGGCCGCCGCTCCCCCCGCGCCGGCGGCGGCTCCGGCGGGGGCCGGGTTCCCTGCGGGCAGCACCTGCAGGGCTCCCCCAGCGGAGGGCGCTGCTGCCCCCGCGCCGCCGCCGCTGTTGGTGCCGGCTGCGGCCGCTGGGGGCGCTGCTGCGGCGGCGCTGTTGGCGCTGGGCGGTAGCAGCGTGAGCCCCGCGGGCGGTACCAAGGGCGGCGGCGGCGGGGGGGGGGCGGCGCGGGCGGCCCCGGGGCGGCGGCGGCGGGCGCGGGGCTCTTGGGGGGGTTGGCGGGCACGGAGGGCACGGGCGCGGGCGCGGGCGCGGCGGGCAGCTCGTAGCGCTGCAGCTGCAGCAGGTAGGAGTCGGCCGTGGGCACCGCGCCCCAGCTCACCTCCAGCGACGTGGTGTTGGCGCGGACCAGCTGCACCCGAGCCGGAGCGGGGGGGCGCTCTGCGGGGGGGCACAGCGGGGTGAGGGGGGTACGGGGGGGGCAAGGGGGGGGGAGCAACTGCAACCAATGGGGATGGGGGGGGGAGCAACTGAAACCAATGGGGATGGGGGGGGAGCAACTGAAACCAATGGGGATGGGGGGGGAGCAACTGAAACCAATGGGGATGGGGGGGGGATGGGGGGGCAATGGGGGGGGGAGCAACTGAAACCAATGGGGATGGGGGGGCAATGGGGGGGAGCAACTGCAACTAATGGGGATGGGGGGGATGGGGGGGCAATGGGGAAGGGGGGAGCAACTGCAACCAATGGGGATGGGGGGGAGCAACTGAAACCAATGGGGATGGGGGGGGAGCAACTGAAACCAATGGGGATGGGGGAGGATGGGGGGGCAATGGGGAGGGGGGGGACCAACTGAAACCAATGGGGATGGGGGGGGGATGGGGGGGCAATGGGGGGGGAGCAACTGAAACCAATGGGGATGGGGGGGCAATGGGGGGGAGCAACTGCAACTAATGGGGATGGGGGGGCAATGGGGAAGGGGGGAGCAACTGTAACCAATGGGGATGGGGGGTTATGGGGGGGCAATGGGGAGGGGGGGGACCAACTGAAACCAATGGGGATGGGGGTTATTGGGGGGCAATGGGGAGGGGGGACCAACTGTAACCAATGGGGATGGGGGGGCAATGGGGAGGGGGGCACAACTGTAACCAATGGGGATGGGGGGGCAATGGGGAGGTGGGGGACCAACTGCAACCAATGGGGATGGGCGGGGGATGGGGGGGCAATGGGGACGGGGGGGACGGGGGAACCAATGGGGAGGGGGGAGCCCCAAGTGTAACCAATGGGGATGGGGGGGGCGCAACTGTAACCAATGGGGATGGGGGGTGTACGGGGAAACCAATGGGGAGGGGGGAGCCCCAACTGTAACCAATGGGGAGATGGGGGGTACGTGGGAACCAATGGGGAAGGGGGAGCCCCCACTGTAACCAATGGGAATAGGGGTCCTGGGAATAACCAATGAGGAGGAAGAATTCCTGAGACCATCCAATGGGGATGGGGGCACCCCTGGGTGTAACCAATGGGGATGGGGGGGATCCTGGGGGTAACCAATGAGGATGGGGAATCCCTGAGAGCATCCAATGGGGACAGGGATCCGTAAATGCAACCAATGGGGAGGAGGGATCCCCGAGTGTACCCAATGGGGATGAGGGAGCCCCAAGTGTATCCAGTGGGGATGGGGGTGCCGCTGGGGGCACCCAATGGGGCCGGGCCCCCGCGCTCACCGGTCTCCAGGTACCAGAGGTCCTTGCAGCAGACCTGGTTGTTCCAGGCCTTGCGGTACCCGTCCCGCCCGCTCCAGATGTAGAGCCGGGTGGCGATGGCCACGGCGCAGTGCCCGGCGCGCGCCCGCGGCACGTTGTCCTCCAGCGTGTCCATGACGATTGGGCTCCCAGGCCATGGAGTCTGCGGGGCACCGGGGGGGTCAGGAGGGCGCTTGGGGGGGGTGAAGGTGGGTTTGGGGTGTTTTGGGGTATTTCAGGGTGTTTTGGGGGTATTTTGGGGTACTTCAGGGTGTTTTGGGGGTATTTCAGGGGTATTTGGGGATTTTTCAGGGATATTTTGGTGCGTTTCAGGGGTGTTTCGGGGTGGTTTTGGGCAGTCCCATACCCAGGTTGAGGCAGGCCAGCGTGTTTGTGCACTTCCACTCCTTCTCGTGCGTCGCCACCTTCACGTCGTCCATGACAAGGGGCACCCAGCCCCCAAACACGTACATCCTGGGGGATGGGGGGAGAGCAATGGGGTCAGGGGGGCCTGGGGAGGGGGCTGGGGTCCTGGGAGGCAGAGGAGGGGGGTTCAGGGCCCCCCTGGCCTCACTTGTTGCCGATGGTGGTGGCTGAGTGGAGGCTGCGCGGTAACGGGGCCACCCCGCTGAGGCTGGGCTTGTTCCACGTCAGCGTCTCTGCAGCAGGGACAGCAATGGAACCAATGGAATCAATGGAACCAATGGCATCAATTGCACCAGCAACATCAATGGCATTAACAGCACCAATGGAATCAAGAGCACCAATGGCATCAGTGGCATCAATGGCACCAGCAACATCAATGGCATTAACAGCACCAATGGAATCAATAGCACCAATGGCATCAGTGGCATCAATGGAACCAGCAACATCAATGGCATTAATGGCACCAATAGCATCAATGGAACCAATGGCATCAATGGCATCAACGGTACCAGTAGCATCAATGGTACCAGTGATGCCAATAGCACCAATTCTATCAATGGCACTGATGGTACCAATGGCACCAATGGCATCAATGGCACTGATGGTACCAATGGCACTGATGGTACCAATAGCAGCAATGGCATCAATGGCACTGATGGTACCAGTAACACCAATGGCATCAATGGCACCGATGGTAGCAATAGTACCAGTGACGGCAACGGCACCTATGGCACCAATTACAACGGCACCGATGAGGAGCCGGCCCCAAAGCGCGTTGCCCCCCTCACCGATGTCCAGTGTCCAGAGGTCTCCCAGGCGGCAGCCGCTCATGCCGCCGTAGATGACGAGGCGCGAGCGCCGCGCCGCGCGCTCCGTGTACACCACGGCCGTGTGGGACTCGCGCGGCGGCGGCAGCACCCCGTAGGTGATGGGGATGTCCCAGGCCAGCACCCCGGAGCCGGCGCGCAGCTCCAGCACGTACAGGTCATTCAGGTACCTGTGGGGCAGGGGAGGGAGGGATGGACGCGGTCCCCGGTGGCTGTGGGGGGACGGGGCAGGCGTGGGGCGCGCCGGGGGCCCCCCCTCACCGGGGGATGTTGTTCTTGGGGTCCTCGCTGTCGTTGGCCAGCCCCCCGAACAGGTAGCACTTGTTGCCCACCAGCGAGAAGCTGTGGCCCAGGCGCGGGCACGGGGGGGGCCCGTTCTTGGGGGTCTTCGCCTTCAGGCGCTTCCATTCCCAGCGGCTCGCCTGGGGGGGTGTGGGATAGGGGCAGTCCCAGATTCTATGGGGCAGCCCCAACTGCACAGGAACAACCCCTGCACCATAGGAACCACCCCCAGCCCCATAGGAACAACCCTTGAACCATAGGAAACCCCCCCCCAGCCCCATAGGACCCCATAGCAAGACATGGACACCCCCGTAACAGCACTGACACCCCCATAGCGACAACAATTCCTTATAACGATGGTCCATAAAAATAGCAATCCTCCCACAGCGACCCCCCCCATAGCTACAGCGACGCTCCCCATAGCGACCCCATAGTGACACTGACACCCCCCCAATGACCACCCTCCCCATAGTGGCAGTAACCCCCCAGGCCCATAGCCCAGCACCACATCTGCAGCTCTGAGGTCAATGCTGTACTTGCCATACTCCACCAGCCCCATAGCACACCCCATAGCTCTCTATAGCCCCATAGCTCCCCATAGCCCCCTACCTGCAGCTCATAGAGGTCGTTGCTGTACTTGCCGTACTCCACCAGCCCCACAGCACACCCCATAGCTCCCCATAGCCCCCTACCTGCAGCTCATAGAGGTCGTTGCTGTACTTGCCGTACTCCACAGCCCCACAGCACACCCCATAGCTCCCCATAGCCCCATAGCTCCCCATAGCCCCCTACCTGCAGCTCATAGAGGTCGTTGCTGTACTTGCCGTACTCCACCATCCCCACAGCACACCCCATAGCTCTCTATAGCCCCATAGCTCCCCATAGCCCCCTACCTGCAGCTCATAGAGGTCGTTGCTGTACTTGCCGTACTCCACCAGCCCCATAGCACACCCCATAGCTCTCTATAGCCCCATAGCTCCCCATAGCCCCATAGCTCCCCATAGCCCCCTACCTGCAGCTCATAGAGGTCGTTGCTGTACTTGCCGTACTCCACCAGCCCCATAGCACACCCCATAGCTCTCTATAGCCCCATAGCTCCCCATAGCCCCATAGCTCCCCATAGCCCCCTACCTGCAGCTCATAGAGGTCGTTGCTGTACTTGCCGTACTCCACCAGCCCCATAGCACACCCCATAGCTCTCTATAGCCCCATAGCTCCCCATAGCCCCATAGCTCCCCATAGCCCCCTACCTGCAGCTCATAGAGGTCGTTGCTGTACTTGCCGTACTCCACCATCCCCACAGCACACCCCATAGCTCTCTATAGCCCCATAGCTCCCCATAGCCCCCTACCTGCAGCTCATAGAGGTCGTTGCTGTACTTGCCGTACTCCACCAGCCCCATAGCACACCCCATAGCTCTCTATAGCCCCATAGCTCCCCATAGCCCCATAGCTCCCCATAGCCCCCTACCTGCAGCTCATAGAGGTCGTTGCTGTACTTGCCGTACTCCACCAGCCCCATAGCACACCCCATAGCTCTCTATAGCCCCATAGCTCCCCATAGCCCCATAGCTCCCCATAGCCCCCTACCTGCAGCTCATAGAGGTCGTTGCTGTACTTGCCGTACTCCACCAGCCCCATAGCACACCCCATAGCTCTCTATAGCCCCATAGCTCCCCATAGCCCCATAGCTCCCCATAGCCCCCTACCTGCAGCTCATAGAGGTCGTTGCTGTACTTGCCGTACTCCACCATGCCGCCGAACACCAGGAGCCGGGTCCCGTCGCAGACGAAGCCGTAGGCGGCGCAGCCGGGGGGGATGTCCCCGCGCACGGCCGGGATGAACCATTGGTTGGTGGCTGCGGGGGGAGGCGGGGTCAGCCCCGCCCATGGCCCCGCCCACTGGGACATCCGCCCCCCCCCCCCAACCCCAGTGGGGTCATCCCGGGGCCCCCCATTGGCACCCCCTCCCCCTCTACCCACTGACACCCCCCCATTGACCAAGCCCATTGTCACCCCCATTGACACCCCTACTGATAACCCATTGACACCCCTACTGATACCCCATTGACACCCCTACTGATACCCCATGGACGCCCCCCCCCCCCGTTCCCAGCCCTATTGATACCCCACTGACACCGCTATGGGACCCCCATGCTGACACCCCACTGATGCCCCCATTGCTGGCCCATTGACCCCCCAGTTGATCTCCCCATTCATGCCTCATTAATGCCCCACTGACACCCCCTTTGCCACCCCATTGATATCTCATTGCTATCTTCATTCACTGTGCCATTACCAGCCCATTGACTCCCTATTGATTCCCCCATTGACGACCCATTGCCACCTCCACTGATGCCCCATTAAACCTGATGCCCGTTACCCCCCATCGATACCCCATTACCGCCCAATGCCCCCCCACTGTCACCCCAATTGATGCCCCATTAACACCTCGTTGATGCCCCCATTACCACCCACCAGTGATATCCTATTACCCCACTGCCCCCCAATAGTGCCCCCATGCTGATGCCCCATTACTCCTCTGTTAATGCCCTATTAACATCTCATTGATGCCCCTATTATCACCCCCCATTGATGTCCCATTACCAACTCCATTATCACCCCGCATTGCCACCTCCACTACCCCCCTTATCACACCCCATTGCTGCCCCATTACCCCCCATTGCCACCTCAATTACCCCCCCATTATTACCCCCATTGCTGCCCCATTACCAACCCCATTACCCCCCATTATCACACCCCATTACCCCCCCATAATGACACCCCATTCCCCCCACTGCCCCCCTATAGCCGCTCACCGGTGTTGTAGACGTGCAGCTCATCCACGATGCCCTCGTTGCCCCCCCCGAACACCACGATCAGCTCCTTTATGGCCACGGCGCGGTGGCCATGGCGCGGCCGCGGCACCGGCCCCGACCAGCCCAGGACCCGCTTCCAGCGCGGCTGCAAGCGCGGGGGGGCCGCGGCGGCGCGCGGGGGGGAGCCCCCCCGCCCGGGGGCCGCCATCAGCCCCTCGAGCACCTGCGGGAGGGGGGTGGACGGGGTCAGGAGCCCCCCATTGACACCCCATAATGACCTCCCCCCATAGAAACCCCCCATGCAGATCTCCCCCAAGACCCCCATAGACCCTCCATAAACCCCCCCTACAAACCCCCACCAGTGACCCCCCCATGGCCACCTTCATAACCCCCACCATAGACCCTATGGAGACCCCCCCCCAAAGAGACAATGACCCCCCATAAAGACCTCCCCATAGCGACCCCCTCAATGACAATGGTACCCCCACAGCGGCAATAGCCCCCCCCATAAACCCCCCTTAAAGTGCCAATTCTCCCTATACTAATTGCACCCCCCCTTTACTCGAACGCCCCCTGGGGGTCAATTCCCTGCTCCCCACACTGCAATTAACCACAATTAATGCCCCCTTTACAACTACCCGGGGGGGGGCAATTACCGCTCTTCCATCCACAACTACCCCGGGGGGGGCAATTAACGCCTCCTCCACTGCAACCACCCGGGGGGGGCTCTGGACATCGCAATTCCCCCCCCACTCCCCCCGCCACCGCAATTGCCCCCCCCCCCCGGGGCATTTCCATGCATTCACACCCCCCCCCCCCCATCACCACAATGGACCATTCCCCCCGCCCCCCACCAATTGCCCCCCCGTCCATTGCCCCTCCCCCGGCCTCCCCCACCCCCCTACCACCCCCCCCCCCCGCCCATGGGAGCCGCCATCTTGTCTTGTAGCCGCCCTGGCGGAAAATGGCGGCGGCCGCCTCGCCCCCCCGCCGCTCACCGCTGACCCCTCCCGGCTCCCGGCCGCCCCCTGCCGCCGCGCCGGCTCCGCCGCCCCCCCACGCACGCCGCCGGTCGCTGCCCGAGGCTCGGAGCGGGCCCGCAGCGGCGCTGCCGTTGGCCGCGGGCGCCCTCACGCCGCGCTGGGAGCCGCCATCTTGCGCCTGTGTCCAAGCGGCGGCTCCGCTTCCCCGCCCGCGCGGGGCAGGGCGGACGGCCAATGGGGGCGGGGCTACGTCAGGACACGCCCCCTCGATCCCCGGGCGGCGCCATCTTTGGGTTGGGAGTAGGGGGGGCGAACGGGCGCCGCCATCTTGGGCTCACAGATTTGGGGGCGGGGGGGGGGGGAGCCCCTCAAACCGCTCCCCCCCCACGACGCCCTCCGGCGCGGGACTGCAGGGCCCGGTACCGGCGCGGCGCCCCCGAGTAGCCCAGCCCCTCAAACGGGTCGTGACCCCCCCCTTCCTCCGCCATTTACCCCCCCCGGCGCTCCCCTTTACCCCGAGCCTCGTCCCAGGCAGCCCCGCGCTGTACGGAGCGCTCAGCCCGCCGTGGGCGCCGCCATCTTGGCCGCCTCTCCCCTACCCCGCTTCCTCCATAACCGCTCCCTGCTCGGCACCGGGGTCTCCCCCACCCCCGGTTCCCTCGGGTTTTAACGCCCCACCCCCCCACCCCCCGTTGCCGTTTTAAGGCCTCCGGGCCCCGCTGAGCGCGGACGGGAGCGCGGACACCGCCGCCTCCCTCTGCCCCCCACCGCCGCTCCGTACACACAGGAAGGCGGCCGGAGGGACCCGGATGTCTGCGCAGCGCGGCGCCATGACAGCCCCTTATCCCCTCCCAAGATGGCGGCCCCCGGGGCCGAGACGAGGACCCGGATGTGGGCACCATGGCAACGCGGGTGGCGCACCCCAAGATGGCGCGGCCCGCTCGGCCCTTCCCCCCACCCCGCTCCCGGCCGCGGCACCTCCCGCCCTCACCGGGTGCGGCCCCGCGAACGGGCCGGCTCCAAGGCTGCGCTCCGGTACCCGGATGCGCGGAGGAGGGGAGGGGGGTCACAAAGATGGCGGCGCGCTGCTCGGAGATGGGGGGAACCAAGATGGCGCCGCCGGTTCCCGGATCTTCCTCCTCCTCCGCCTCTTCCTCCTCCTCGGAGCGCGGGCAAGATGGCGGCGCCTGCCCGGGGCGGGAGGGGATGTGGGCCCGCGCCCCCCGCCCCCCCACCACGCCCCGCTCCTTGCCCCGTGCACCCCCCTCGGGCAAGGCCCGGATGCGGCGGCCCAAGATGGCGGAGGCGGCCGCGGCTGCCCAATATGGCGGCCGCCGCGGGACCCGGATGCGGCCGCTCTCCGCTGCGCGCCGCTCCCGCCCCGCTCCGCACCTGCAGGCACCGGCCGCGCGCGGGCACCGGGCGCCGCCTCCTCCCGCCGCCGCCGCTCTCTCGGGGACGCCGCCGCCGCTCCCAAAGGCCGAGACGGGCCCGTCCGCAGCGGCGACTACAGGCGCTTGGGAGCCGCCATTTTGGACGCGTCTCCTCCACCCGGCACAAAGATGGCGCTTCCCGGGACCCGGATGATGGCGCCTAACGGCTTGGGCGCGCAGCGCGCATGCGCCCTGGCGGCACGGGCGGGGCGGCGCTTGCGCGTTGCTTCCGTTACCCCTCCCCGCAGAGCCCGCTCCTCCTGCCGCGCATGCGCGCTGCGCTCCCGCAATGATGGTTTTTGGTCAAAGTCCCTGATTTGGGCGGGTTTTGACCCAAATCCGCCCCGCGGCGCTCCGCGGGTGGGGGAGGGGAGGTGCAAATGGGTGCAAGGAGCGTTCCCCCCGTCATGGCCGCGCCCTCTGCTGGCCGCCATCTTGGCGGACGAGGGCTCCCCCTCCGTGACCCCAGGCCAGGTCCCTGCCCTGGGAGGGTCACGTGGGGACGAGGTTTGGGGGGCGGGGCAATGCACCCCACAGATACCCCCCATTCCTCCCCCGCCCCATTCGCAACCGGGACCCGCAGATCCCTCTTCAATGGGGCTGGGCAGCCCCCAGACCCCCCGGTGCCACCGGCGGCGCCATGGGCACCAATGGGATCAACGGCTCCGGCTCCAGGCGCTTCCCCTTTAAGAGCAGGCTCCGCCCACGCCGCCATCTTGAGCGTGGCGAACCGTGTCGCGGCCGCCATATTGAGCGTGGATCAAGCGGGACAAAAAAGGGGCGGTGCCGCGCTCCTCGCGATGACGTCATTGCGGCCGTGACGTCACAGCCGCCGGGACACCCCGGTGACTACTCAGGGAGAGCGGAGGGTGAGGGATGCGGTGACGTCACACACAGGACGCGGTGTCATCACACCTGGGATGCGGTGACGTCACACACAGGATGCGATGTCATCACACCTGGGATGCGGTGACGTCACACACAGGATGCGGTGTCATCACACCTGGGATGCGGTGACGTCACACACAGGATGCGGTGTCATCACACCTGGATGCGGTGACGTCACACACAGGATGCGGTTCATCACACCTGGGATGCGGTGACGTCACACACAGGATGCGATGTCATCACACCTGGGATGCGGTGACGTCACACACAGGATGCGGTGTCATCACACCTGGGATGCGGTGACGTCACCCCCGCCCCCCCAGGGGTCGGCTGGGATCCATTGGTCCCCAATGGAAGCTCTGCCTCCCCCACCCACCGCGGGGGGGAGGGGTCCATGTGGGGGTGTCCAATAAAGCGCAGAGCCATTGGTGCACACAGATTTATAGATCACTCCAGCACAGACACAGAGCCCGGGGGGAGGGGGGAGAGGGGCACCGGGGGGGCCTTGGCGACGCGAGGGGGGGAGGGGGGGACCTAAAAACATGGGGGGGGAGGGTGGGCGGCGCCTTGGACCCCCAAGAAGGAGGCAGAGCCGAGGGGGTTTCATGTAAATTTATAAGGCAAAATCTCCTCGCGCCACTAACGAATAAATAGGTGCGACCCCCCCCACCCCCCATGGAACCTCCCCTCCCCGGGCCCCCCCATGGAACCGCCCCCCCCCCCCCGGGCCCCTCCTGCCCCTGGCGCCGCGGGTCCCGTCCCATCCCCCCCCCGTTATTGCCTTGAGGAGCCGGGACCGGGAGGGGGGAGGGGGGTGGAAGAACTAAAGGGGGGCCCCCCCGGGCTGGGAACCTCCCCCCAGTGACTCCCCATTGGTCAGCTGGGTCCCACACGCTCACGCCTGATTGGCTCCTGCCCGCCCCCTCCTGCCCCGGCACGCGTCGCTGCTGATTGCTCTGGAGCACTGCCCGCCGCAAGCGGCCGCCGGCTCTGATTGGCTCCAAAGCGGATCCTTACCCCCCCCACACACGCACACAACCCAATGGTTGCTCCTGATTGGCTCCAGAACTCGATCCCGCCGTCAGGTCACAGACTCTCCTGATTGGCTCTAAACGAGATCCCTTCCCGCCCACAGTCTCCCTGATTGGCTCCAGACTCGTCTCTCCTGGTTGGTTCCAGACCAGATCCCGCCCCAACCCACCGCGACTCCTGATTGGACAGAGACCAGGTCCACCCTCCAACCCCAAACCACCACTGATTGGCTACTGACTGGAGTGACCCAGAATCTGCCCGCCCCCGAGGCCCTCTGATTGGCTGACCCCAAACCCCCTCCAGCCACTCAGCGCTCCACATGGACCCGCCTCCCCCGCTCCTGATTGGCTCAGCCGTGGATCCCTCCCAAAAGCTGCCGATTGGCTCCACACCAGATCCCGCCCATTAACAACTCCTGATTGGCTCCAGGCCGGACCCCAGCCAAGCTGAAAGCGGCTCCCGATTGGCTCCCATCCCTTTCAAACACCCCTGCTGATTGGCTGCGGAGTGGATCCCAACTCCATCCCGATTGGCTCCGCCACAACACCCTCTCCTGATTGGCTCAACGCTGGATCCCCTCAATGCCAAACCACTCCCGATTGGCTCCTCCTTGGCCCCCACTGGACGGCGGCGCCCCCCGGCCCCCCTTAGTGCAAATGGTTCCTACCTAAAAACGCGGGAACGGAACTGGAAGAACGAATGAAGCGGCGGCGCTAGGGGAGGGGCGGACCCCGACCCCCCCATGGCCCCGGAGCCCCCTTCACCCCCCCACATCAGGGGGGGGTCCCCGGGGCCACCCCCCCCCTTTAGTGCTTGTGGGGGGGCCCTCGCTGTGCTTCTCGGTCATAGACGGGGGGGGGGGGCTGGGATGGGGGAGGGGGCTCAGGGTGATGGAGCTGGGGGGAGGGGGGGCGATGGGGGGGGACGGGGTGGGTCCATGTGTCCATCCTGGGTCCGTGATTGGTTGGCTCACAGTCAGCTGACCCGCTCGGGCACAGGCGTCCTGGTGTCGACCGCCTCGTCGCGGGGGGGGCGGCGGGCGGCGGCCGCGGCACCGCGGCGCTGGGCGGGGGAGGGGGCGGCGGCGCCGACGAGGACGAGCACGAGGAGGAGGAGGACGAGGACGAGGATGAGGACGAGGAGGAGGAGGAGGAAGCAGCGTCCTTGGGCTCGGGCTCCCCCCCCGGCGCCCGGCCCAACGGAGTCTTTGCCGTGGCGCAGCCGTCGGGGGCGGCCGCGGCGCCGCGGTGCTGGGAGCAGCCGCTGCAGTCCTGTGCCGCCGGGGGGGCGGCGCTGCCGCTGTCCTTGGGGCTGCCCGGGGGGGCTCGCTCGGCACCGGCGACCCCCCCAGCTCCCTCCTGCCGGGCGCCGGCACCGCGGCACCGCCGCCACCGCGACCCTTGGGGCTGCCGCGGGCGGCGCGGGGGCCGCGGGGGCCGCGCTCGGGCGGCGCCGGCGCCGGTTTGGCCGCTTCCAGCAGCGCCGGCTCCCGCGTCTTCCTCTTCTTGATGGGCAGCACCGTCTCCTGCACCGCGGGCGCCGCCGCCGCCGCCGCCTTCTTCTTGCTTCGGCCGCCGCCGCCAACGCCGCCGCTCCGCTGCCGGTGCCGGCGCCACCGGGCCCGGTTCCCGCCGCCGGTTTGCGGCCCCGCTTCTTGGGCGCTCCCCCGTGCCGGTCGGGCTCCGCTTTCCGCTTGCGGCCCGGGCGCTTCACGGCCAGGACCTGCGCCGAGGTGGTGGCGGCTCCGGCACCGGCGTCGCCGCGCGCGCCGCCCGCGAACCGGCATCTTCACGAGCAGCTTGGCCGGGCTCTTCTCCAGCGCCCCCCCCGCGCTTGGGCAGCGCCGGGGCCGCCTCGGCCGCCACCGCCTTGGGGGCTTTGGGGGCGCCGCTGCCCTTGGGGCGGCCGCGGCCGCGCCCGGTGCCCGCGCTCTTGGCGCCTTTGGGCTTCTTGGGCGGGCGCTGCTCGCGCCGCGAGGGGCTCCCCCGCCCGGTGACGGTGAAGTCGAAGTCGTTGGGGTCCAGCGAGGTGTCCCCGACCTTCTCGAAGTACGCCACGAGCTCCACCTTGGACCGGAACGCTTTGCCCTGGGGGCTGCGGCGCCGACGTCAGCCACCGCGGCCGCCGCGCCCGGCAACCGCGGCAAGCACGGGCCAGTGCGTCCCAGGACCCTACCGGTTACCACCCCAATACACCCCAATACATCCCAGGACCCTACTGGTACCATCCCAATGCATCCTCATGCATCCCAGTGCTTCCCAACGCAAATCATAGCAACCCAGAGCATGCCAATGCATCCCAGTACCCTACTGGTACCTAACTAGTGCACTCCAGTGCACCCCAATATATCCCGATGCATCTCGATACCATTCTCATACCATCCCGATGCTTCCCAGTGCACCCACAGCGCACCCCAGTACCCTACTGGTACCCAATCAGTGCGTCCCAATGCACCCCGATATCATCCCGATGCATCGCAGTGCACTTCAGCACCCTACTGGTACCTACTCGTGCGCTCCGATGCATCCCACTGTATCCTAGTGCATCCCGGTATCATCCCCGTGCATCTGATGCTATCCCAGTACCATCCCAAAGCATCCCCATGCATCCCAATACCATCCTGGTACCATCCTGATGCACCCCAGCGTGCAACAGTGCACCCCAGAACCCTACTGGTACCCAACTAGTGCGCCCCAATGCATCCCAATGCATCTCAGTGCACCACAGTACCATACTGGTATCCAGCTACTGCGCCCCAATGCATCCTGATGCATCCCAGTACCCTACTGGTACACAACTAGCACGTCCCAGTGCATCCTGACACCATCCCAGTACCACCCGATGCCTCCCACCATGCTCCGCTCCCATCCTGGCTGCATCCCGGTGCCTCCCATCCCAGTGCATCTCATCCCCGGTGCCTCCCATCCCATTCCCATCCTGGACGCATCCCATCCCCATCCCATCGCCATCCTGGCTGCATCCGGGTGCCTCGCATCCCATCCCCATCCCCATCGCCATCCCGGACGCATCCATCCCCATCCCATCGCCATCCTGGACGCATCCCATCCCATCGCCATCCTGGACGCATCCCATCCCCATCCCATCGCCATCCTGGCTGCATCCCGGTGCCTCCCATCCCATCCCCATCCCATCGCCATCCTGGACGCATCCCATCCCCATCCCGGCTGCATCCCGGTGCCTCCCATCCCATCCCCATCCCATCACCATCCTGGACGCATCCCATCCCCATCCCATCGCCATCCTGGCTGCATCCCGGTGCCTCCCATCCCATCCCCATCCCATCGCCATCCTGGACGCATCCCATCCCCATCCCGGCTGCATCCCGGTGCCTCCCATCCCATCCCCATCCCATCACCATCCTGGACGCATCCCATCCCCATCCCATCGCCATCCTGGACGCATCCCATCGCCATCCCGGCTGCATCCCGGTGCCTCCCATCCCATCCCCATCCCATCACCATCCTGGACGCATCCCATCGCCATCCCGGCTGCATCCCGGTGCCTCCCATCCCATCCCCATCCCATCGCCATCCTGGACGCATCCCATCGCCATCCCGGCTGCATCCCGGTGCCTCCCATCCCAGCCCGTCCCCACCGCGGTGCCCCCCGGCTGCCGCCCCGGGCTCACTTGATCAGGTAGACGTCGTACTTCCCGGCGGAGCGGCCGGACTTGCGCTGCTTTCAGCTTGCGGGTCCAGCCCTCGGGCAGGGTGGGATCCTCGTACATGGGCCCGCGGTCCCGGATGATCGAGCGCCGCTGCTGGGTGACGCCGACGCCTCCGGAGCCGCCGGCGCCGCCGCCGCCGCCCCCTCCGAGCTCTCGGCCTTGCCGGCCTCGGCCGGCTCCGACGACGGCGGCGCCGGCTCCGGTTCCGGCTCCGGCTCCTCCCGGCGCTCCCGCTTCAGCTTCTTGGCCTTGGGCGCCCGCTCCCGCATCGCCGAGAGCGGCTCCTCCGGCTTCTCCTCCCTGCGGGTGGGCGGGACGGGGTTGGGTGAGGGATACGGGGGTGCGGCGTGGGACGTTGGATACGGGATATGGGATACGGGGGTGCGGTGTGGGACGTTGGATACAGGGATATGGGATACGGGGTGCGGTGTGGGACGTTGGATACGGGATATGGGATACGGGGGTGCGGTGTGGGACGTTGGATACGGGATATGGGATACGGGGGTGCGGTGCGGGACGTTGGATACGGGATATGGGATACGGGGGTGCGGTGTGGGACGTTGGATACGGATATGGGATACGGGGGTGCGGTGTGGGACGTTGGATCCGGGATATGGGATACGGGGTGCGGTGTGGGACGTTGGATACGGGTATGGGATACGGGGGTGCGGTGTGGGACGTTGGATACGGGATATGGGATACGGGGGTGCGGTGTGGGACGTTGGATACGGGATATGGGATACGGGGGTGCGGTGTGGGACGTTGGATACGGGATATGGGATACGGGGGTGCGGTGTGGGACGTTTGGATACGGGGCATGGATACGGGGGTGCGGTGTGGGACGTTGGATACGGGGCATGGGATACGGGGGTGCGGTGTGGGACGTTGGATACGGGATATGGGATACGGGGGTGCGGTGCGGGACGTTGGATACGGGATATGGGATACGGGGGTGCGGTGCGGGACGTTGGATACGGGATATGGGATACGGGGGTGCGGTGTGGGACGTTGGATACGGGTATGGGATACGGGGGTGCGGTGCGGGACGTTGGATACGGGATATGGGATACGGGGGTGCGGTGCGGGACGTTGGATACGGGATATGGGATACGGGGGTGCGGTGCGGGACGTTGGATACGGGATATGGGATACGGGGGTGCGGTGTGGGACGTTGGATACGGGGCATGGGATACGGGGGTGCGGTGTGGGACGTTGGATACGGGATACGGGGGTGCGGTGTGGGACGTTGGATACAGGATACGGGGGTGCGGTGTGGGGTATGGGGTATGGGATACAGGTGTGGGACATTGGATACGGGATACAGGGGTGCAGTGTGGGTATGGGATATGGGATACAGGTATGGGATGTGGATACGGGATAAGGGTGTGCGGTATTGGGGTATGGGATATGGGATGAGGGATATGGGTATGGGGTATGGAATGTGGATACGGGATAAGGATATAGAGCATGGGATATGAGTATGGGATAAGGGATAGGGATACGGGGTAAGGGATGTCAGACGCAGGACATGGGTATGGGATGCGGAATAAGGGATATAGATACGGGATATAGCATAAGGGGACGGGATGTGGGGTGTGGGATGTGGGATATGGGATGGGGACATGGGGTATGGGGATGTGGGAGACGGATACGGGACACAGGACCCGGATCCGGACCCAGGCCATGGGTCACGGACCATGGATATGGCCTAGGGGCCATGGGGGATCCCCTAAACCAGCCCCCACAGAGGCTCCCCCCCCGGGCCCATCCCATAATGACCCCCCTGGGGTTGAGCCCCATGGGACACGGGGCGGGAAGCGCCAGCTCCGGGATGTGGGATCGCCGGGAAGAGCTGGATGTGGGGCCGGGAATGGGGATGGAGCCCGGAGCTGGTGGACCGGGATGCTCCCTATGGATGCTCCCCATGGGATGCTCCCTATGGGATGCTCCCTATGGGATGTCAATATGGATGCTCCCATGGGATGCTCCCTATGGATGCTCCTATGGGATGCCTCCCCATGGGATGCTCCCTATGGGATGTTCCCTATGGATGTTCCCCATGGGATGCTCCCTAGGGATGCTCCCAATGGGATGTTCCCTATGGATGTTCCCCATGGGATGCTTCCCTAGGGATGCTCCCAATGGGATGTCCGTTGGGATTGTTCCCTACAGATGCTCCTATGGGATGTTCCCTAAGGATGTTCCTGTGGGATGTTCCCTATGGATACTCCCTATGGGATGTTCCCTATTGGGTGCTCCCAATGGATGCTCCCGATGGGATGCTCCAGGTGTCGGGCTCATCCCGAGCCACCGGGATGCTTCGGCCGGAGCCGGGATCGGGTCCATGGCACCGGGAGCAGCAATTTGGGGGATTTTGGGACTTTCGGGATCGTTGGGCGGGAATTTGGGGCTGCTTTCGGTGTTTCCCAGGGCTTGGGCCCCATTTGGGGGCGTTTCAGGGCGATTTGGGCTGTTTCGGAGCCCCGCGGCTGGGATGGGCTCAGGCTCATTTTGGGGGCGATCGGGGGGGTTTTGGGCACACCGGACGGGGCGGATTTTGGGGCGATTCAGGGTGATTCGGGCACCGCGGGAGGGCCGCAGTTTGGGGTGGTTCGGGCTGCTCCGGGCCGCAGCGCTCGGGAGCGTTTTGGGGGGATTCAGGGTAATCTGGGGGGATTTGGGGCACCCCCCGGGCCACATTTTTGGGGTGATTTGGGCTGGTTTGGGGCCCAAGGGGAGCGCCGCGGCCGGGAGCATTTTGGAGCGATTCGGGGCATTTTGGGCCCCGCACGAGCGCTGTTTTGGGCTCATTTGGGCTCTTTTGGGGTGTTTTGGGGCGCCGCGGCCGCAAACATTTTGGGGTGATTCGGGCTATTTCAGGGCGCAGCCCCCGAGCTCCGTCTTGGGGTGAATTCAGTGCTTTGGGTGTTTTCGGGTTTTGGGGGGCACCGCGACTGGGGGGGGGGTATCCCATAAGGGGGCGGGGTCGCCATTCCCCGGCCTGCGAAGGGGGGGTCCCCATTGGGGGTCCCCATGAAAGGACACGGAAAGGGGGGAAGGGGTCCCCATTGGGGGGATCGGGCCCAGACCACGCCCCCCTCGGGGGTTCCCGCTCTCGGGGCGCACTCGGGGGGGGGTCTCGCGCCGGGGGGGCCGCTCCCGTCCCCGCTCCCCGTTCCCGGGGGGGCCGCGGCCGTTTGTGACGCAACTCGGAGCGCGTCCCCCCCCCCCTCCCCCCCGCCCCCCCCCTTCCTCCCTTCACCACCCCCCCCTCCCCCCTTCCCCTCCCCGTTCCTCCCGTTCCCGCCCGGGCGCGCGCGCACGGCGGGGAAACGGGGGGGGGCCGTGGGCGGGGAAATTGGGGGGGGGGGCGCGCGGGGTCTCGCGGCGGCGCGCGCGCGGGAAAACAAGCGGCGGGACCCCCCCCTCCCTCTCTCCATTTACAGCCCCCCCCCCCCCCCTCACCTCCTCCTCCTCTTCCCCCCCCCCCCCCCCGCCCCCCCGCCCCCCCCGGGCACTCACAGCCTCTCCCCGGCCCCGCTCGGCCGCCGCCATTTTCTTCGCAGCGAAGAACCCGCTGGGGGGGGGGGGGGGGGACGGACGCGAAGGGGGGGGGGGGGGGGACGCGGACGGGGGGGGGGGGGGGGGGAACGCGGAGAGAAAGTGGGGGGGGGCCCCGAACGGAGCCCGAGAGCGAACCCGGAGCGCCCCGCGCCCCGCCCTGCCCGCGCCGCGATTGGCTGCGGCGGCCGCCGCTCCGAGCGCCGCAGAGCGCTGATTGGCTGCCGAGCGCCGCCCCGCCCCCGGCGTGGGAGGGGCCGGCGCGCTCCCGGCGGCCGTTGGAATTGGCGGGAAGCGCTGTCATTACGGCGCGCCAAAGGGGGCGGGGCCGGCCGAGCGCGCGCAGCCGCCCGTTGGGCCCGCGCTGGGACGGGGAGAGCGGATTGGTCGGGAGAGGTGACCGTCACCTGACGTCACCAAGCGGGGGGCGGGGCAAGGGACGCGTTTTCCCCCCCACACCCCCTCCGCGATCGCGTTTGAAACGCAACGGCCGGAACGGGCCGGGGGGCGGGGCCGCCGCTGCCCCCCAAGTGCGTCCGGTGTCCCCCAAGTGCCGCCCCTGCCCCACTGGAGCCGCCGCTGCCCCATAGGCGCCTCCTCGGCTTCCCCGCGGCGACTGGAGCTGCCCCATGGCTGCCCCATGGCTGCCCCATGGCTGCCCCATAGACACCACCCCCCCGCCCCTCCCTGGGCATGGCAGCCCCACACCTGGAGCCACACGGACACAAGTTACTGGCGCTATTGGCCCCAGTGCTCCCAGTCTGTCCCCCCCACCCCCCAATGGGGCAGCCCCACAGCACCCCCATCGGGGCCGGAATCGTGTCAGCTCCGGTTGGGATTTACCCCTAATCCCAGCCCAGGATCCGCTTAAGGCCGGGATTAAGGCGCTGCTCAGGCTGACACCCATGGGTGCTGCCCCCCTCCCCCCCCGCACCAGGGACCCCACCCCATTGACCACATGGACCCCCCCCATTGGACCCCATTGTCCCCGCACCCCCCGGATTTGGGGGTGCAGGGGGGGGGGACGCAGGACAGGGTAACTTTTGGGGTGCTGGGGGGGGTTTGGGGTTCCCATTGGCGCCCATTGGAGGCACCGGGGGCTGGCACGGCCGCTCCTGGTGCTGATCCCGGTGCTGATCCCGGTTTGATCCCGGCCTCATCCCGGCGCTGATCCCGATTACCGTCCCCAAAGCCGCTTCCCGGGTGCTAAAACCAGGATGAGCCGGATCGGCCCCGGGGGATAAAAGGGTCCCCCAGAGCCCCCGACCCAACCCCATCCATTGGGCCTGGTACCCGCCACCGCGCATCTGCTTCTGTGCCCTCCATCCCATCCCATCCCATCCATCCTTGTGTCCATCCCATCCATCCCATCCCAAATCCTCATCCCTGAGCTCATTCATCCATCCATTCCAAATTCCCATCCCTCCATCTCATTCCATCTGTCTAAACCCCTCATCCCTGTATCTATCCATCCCCAAGCTCTACCCAGGTGTCCATCCATCCCATCCCATCCATCCCTGTGCTCATCCATCCCAAATCTCCATCCCTCTGCCCATCCATTCCATCACACCCATCCCAAAGACTCATCCCTGTGTCCATCCATCCCATCCCAATCCTATCCCATCAATCCCATCCATCCCATCCGTCCATCCCAATCCCATCCCATCCGTCCCATCCCAATCCCATCCCACCCATCCCATCCCAATCCATCCCATCCATCCATCCCAATCCATCCCACCCATCCCATCCCAATCCATCCCATCCATCCCATCCCAATCCATCCCACCCATCCATCCCAATCCCATCCCATTTGTCCCATCCCAATCCCATCCCATCTGTCCCATCCCAATCCCATCCCATCCGTCCCATCCCAATCCATCCCAATCCCATCCCATCCATCCCATCCCAATCCATCCCATCCATCCCATCCCATCCAATCCATCCCACCCATCCCATCCCAATCCCATCCATCCCATCCCAATCCCAATCCCATCCATCCCAATCCCGTCCCATCCATCCCATCCATCCCATACCAATCCATCCCATCCATCCCATCCCATCCAATCCATCCCACCCATCCCATCCCAATCCCATCCATCCCACCCATCCCATCCCAATCCCATCCCAACCCACCCCATTCATCACATCCAATCCAACCCCCCCCACCCCCCCCAGCCATGCCCCCCTCCGATGACCTCCCCGAGGATTTCTTCCTGCCGGTGCCCGTGCCGGGGGGGAACGCGTCGGCGCTGAGCCCGTTCCTGGTGCCGCAGACGCACCTGGGCAGCGCGGGGCTCTTCGCGGCCATGGCCGCCTTCATGGTGGCGCTGGTGGCGCTGGGCGTGCCGGTGAACGCGCTCACCATCGCCTGCACCGCGCGGTTCCGCAAGCTCCGCTCGCACCTCAACTACATCCTGGTGAACCTGGCCCTGGCCAACCTGCTCGTGCTGCTCGTGGGCTCCACCACCGCCGCCTACAGCTTCGCCAGCACCTACTTCGTGCTGGGGCCCACCGCCTGCAAGGTGGAGGGCTTCATGGCCACCCTCGGAGGTGGGGGAGGGGGCGCTGGGCTGGGGATGGGGATGGTGGGGATGGGGTGGGGGGGGGGGGGGAATGGGGGTGATGGGGTGGGGATGGGGTGGGGTGGGGATGGGGATAGGATGTGGATGGGGTGGGGATGGGGATAGGATGGGGATGGGGTGGGGTGGGGTGGGAATGGGGGTGATGGGGTGGGGATGGGGATGGGGTGGGGATGGGGTGGGGATGGGGAAGGGGTGGGATGAGGATGTGATGGGGATGGGATGGGGTGGGGTGGGGTGAGGTGGGGAATGGGGGTGATGGGGTGGGGATGGGGAAGGAAATGGGATGGGGTGGGGTGGGGATGGGGGTGATGGGATGGGGGGGGATGGGGTGGGGTGGGGGCGGGGTGGGGGATGGGGGTGATGGGATGGGGGTGACAGGGATGGGGTGGGGGTGATGGGAATGGGATGGAGATGTTGGGAATGGGATGGGGGTGATAGGAATAGGATGGGGGCATGGGGATGGGATGGGGGTGATGGGGATGGGATGGGGGTGATGTGGGGATGGGGTGGGGGTGATGTGGGGATGGGGTGGGGGTGATGTGGGGATGGGATGTGGTGCAGAAGGACACAGGAGCATGGAGATGTTGGGAAAGGAGATGTTGGGGTGGGAATGGGGGGGATGAGGGTGATGGAGATGGTGGGGATGGGGCAGGGGTGATGGGGATGGGGGTGCTAGGAATGGAGGCTGTGGGATGTGGGTGATGGGAATGGGAATGGGGGGAATGGGGGTGTTGGTGATGGGGATGTTGGGAGCGGGGGCCGTGGGTGTGCGGGGTGTTGATGGTGGGGACACATGAATGTGGCTGTGGTGTCACTGTGCTGGTGTCCTGTGTCCTATGTCCCTGTCCCATATCCCGTATCCATGTCTCCCTGTCCCATATCCCATATCCATGTCTCCCTGTCCCATATCCCATATCCATGTCTCCCTGTCCCATATCCCGTATCCATGTCTCCCTGTCCCATATCCCATATCCATGTCTTCCTATCCCATGTCCATGTCCCATATCCCATATCCATGTCTCCCTGTCCCATATCCCATATCCATGTCTCCCTATCCCATATCCCATGTCCATGTCTCCCTGTCCCATGTCCATGTCTCCCTATCCCATATCCCATGTTCATGTCTCCCTGTCCCATATCCCATATCCATGTCTCCCTGTCCCATGTTGCTATCCCTATCCCATATCCCTGTACCCCCTATCCCTGTATCCCATATATTCTGTATCTCCCATACCTCCCATATCTCCCATGTCTGCCATATGTCCCATGTATCCCATCATGTATCCCATGTATCCCATGTGTCCCATGACGTATCCCATGATGCACGCCATGATGTACCACATGATGTATCCCATGTATCCCCTCATGTATCCCTCCATGTACCCCATGACGTACCCATGACGTCCCCATGACGTACCCCATGACGTCCCCATGACGTCCCAATGACGTCCCAATGATGTCCCCATGATGTACCCATGACGTCCCCATGACGTACCCCATGATGTCCCCATGACGTCCCAATGACATACCCATGACGTACCCATGACGTCCCCATGACGTCCCCATGACGTCCCAATGACGTCCCAATGATGTCCCCATGATGTACCCATGACGTCCCCATGACGTACCCCATGATGTCCCCATGACGTCCCAATGACATACCCATGACGTACCCATGACGTCCCCATGACGTACCCATGACGTACCCCATGATGTCCCCATGATGTCCCAATGACATACCCATGACGTCCCCATGACGTCCCCATGACGTCCCAATGACGTCCCCATGATGTACCCATGACGTCCCCATGACGTACCCATGACGTACCCATGACGTCCCAATGACGTCCCCATGATGTCCCCCATGCCGTGACCCCGCTGCCCCCATGCCGTGACCCCGCTGCCCCCATGCCGTGACCCCAGGCATGGTGAGCCTTTGGTCCCTGGCCGTGGTGGCCTTCGAGCGGTTCCTGGTTATCTGCAAGCCCCTGGGCTCCTTCTCCTTCCGGCCCGGGCACGCCCTGCTCGGCTGCGCCCTCACCTGGGCCTGCGGGCTGGCGGCGGCCGCGCCCCCGCTGCTGGGCTGGAGCCGGTAGGGGCGGGGCCCGAGGGGAGAGGGGCGGGGCTTGAGGGAACGGGCGGGGCCTGAGGGGAGAGGGGCGGGGCCCGGGGAAAGGGGCGGGGCTTGAAGGAAAGGGAGGTGCTTGAGGGGTGGAGGGGCGGGGCTCGATGAGGGGAGGGGCCTGGCTCGAAGGGCGGGGCTTCAGGTCTTAGCGCGTGTAGGACCATGGAGGAGCGCGTGTTGGAACGTGTGGGAGCGAGGTGCTGCGTTTTGGAGCATGTTGGCACATGTTGCATGCTATTACATGTGGACACGTTATCACATGTCTCATGTTATTCTGTGTTGTTGCGTGCTATTACAGGTTATTACATGTTGACAC